GTCGCAGGCGTGCCGAATGACTATGATGTCGGCCCAAGCCCTGAAGGAAGACGACAGCATCCTTCCCGAGATCCCACCACGTCACCAGTCGCGTCAAGCATCCAGTGCTCCGCCTCCGAGCGCACAAAGCAGTCGTGGTACTTGCGCAGATGATACGTCCGTTTCTTGATCTCCAGACCAGACCCAGAATGCGGAAGCTCGAGGATGAGGTCATCGAGTGTGGGGGGCAGGGGCAGGGAAGGGAGACGAGAGGGGGTGGGTGGGAGGGTGGGGCGGGGGGCGGGGGGGCGGGGGTCTTGGCTGAGTGCGTACTCCCATGGTGGGTAAGGGTGTGCGAGAGTGAGAGGTGGGTGGGCGTGTGAGGGCGGAAGTCAGTCACTTGCTTGAGTTGCCTGGAATGAGGTCGCTCTCGTTGTTATTATGCAATAATATTCGTTTCCGTTTCGATCGGCTGCAGAGGGAGTTTGGCCGTAACTCTAAGCGGTACGGTCGTCGTTCAGACACGTTGTCGCGCGTCAATAAGTGGACAACGCGATGATGCTTGACTTCCAGGTCACCGGCCGGCGCTGCGCGACGCCTGCTTGGCCTGCGGCTCGAGGTGAGAGGCGCGCATGCACGTGATGGCGGCCGATAGGTAGACGCCCGCCTGAAGAATGCCCGACCTGGGAGTATGGGCGAGGCGCGCGAGGTGGCGTACGGCGCGGACGGTGCGGAGCTTGTTGTTGACGACCCCGACGACCGGGAAGGAGAGCATGACAGAGTTGAACACAGCGGCCGGACGGGAGAGCACGACGATGTTGTGGATCTTCTTGCGATGGACGAGCTGGCCGGTCGGCGTGGCCGTTGCCGACATGAGGAGCGATGGCTGCAATCAGAAAAAAACAAGGTCAAATCGAGCCATTTTGCCTCGCGAGCAGTCGCGGCAACATCGGCAGCGCGCCGCAACAGCGCTAGCCACCCAAGCTTCGGGAGCCGAGACTACTGCACTAGTCGGACCAAGGCTTAGAGGACGAGCTAGGCTTGCATATAGGCGAGATTTTGCTGTCGTGAGTGTCGTTGTTGTCGAGCATGCAAAGGTCAAGCTCGGGTAGGTTCACCGCGTGTGGATCGTGGGCGAGGCTGCTCGGCATGAATGTGCGGGTCGGAAGGGTGATCATGGTGGTGCTGCTGGGGTGGTTGATGTACCAAATGACGGTGACGCTTACGTATACGCTGCGACCGAGGGGTAGAGCAAGCCACGTGCATGATCAGGCGCAGAAGGCACGCGATGCCAAGGTTACAGCGCTCGAGGCCCGCATCGACCATCTCGAGCGGCTAGCGTCGACACGATCGCGGCAACACGCAGCGCTAGCGACGGCGCAACTGGCCAAACATGGACAAGAGGCCGAGAGCTGGGCAACGTACCTTGGGCTTGATGATGCCGACGTGGCCGAGATCGACGACCGAAGCGTGCCGGATGAGGTGCGGCGGAGTAGTGGGAGCGGGCGCAAGGCTGGTGAGCCGCTGCGGGTACTTATCTTCTCATGGGCGACCGAGGACACATACACCAAGTACGAGACCGAGGTGTACTGGAAGGCATGCTATGCGGCCACCCACGGATATGATCTGATCATCACCGATGAGCTCGATCCCAAGCTTGTGGCCGCTGAGGCCGCCGATGGCGACGATGAGTACTCGCAGGAAGGCTGGTACCGTGAGGAGCGGATGTACGCGTGGCACAAGGCGCTGACGCGACATCTGGTCTCGGGCGAGTACGACCTGGTGTACATGATTGGCGCAGACACGCTCCTTGTCCCGCCGATGATGAACTTTGCACTCACACGGTACTACGAGGGCCACCCGCTGACCATCATGGATCAGAAGTTCCAGTTCTGGGGCTACAACCAGAACGCGCTGCTGTTCTCGACACAGGCGGCCGGATCGTGGCTTGAGGCATTTCGTGCCGTTTTCTTTGCGCGGCACAAGCAGTTTACACTCCAGTCGGACAACGGCTCGTTCATGGAGACGATGCTCGAGTTTCTCGGCGCCGAGGCCGAGCTCAACGGACTCCCGGGCTATGATGGCAAGTGCGGCAAGCTTGCAGTGCTGGACATACCGGCCGGCAAGCTTGCCAAGATAGACTTTTCGACCTACGAGGCGACGATGCTCGCTTACAGCGAGTGTTTCTTCCCGGAGCTCGGCCGGCTAGCCGGGCCGTACAACGAGCGCAAGTCGTCGTTCGTCAACTTTGTGGCCCACACCGACGAACGGCCGTGGGCCAACTGCTGGGGTGGCCTCCGGCTCAACCATCCGGATGAGTGGCGCTCACGCTGCTTCGGTATCCATCTCAACGGCGCTGGCCGTGACGCGAGCATGATTAGCAACTTTCCGCACCCGGCGGAGTGCGAGGCGCCCGGCTTTGACTGGGACTCGCACGAGTACAACCCCGCCAACCGGGGCACGGCAGGATGACGTCACGTCGCACTGTCAGCAGCCACGTACCAGGCTGCAGCCCGAGCGGCAGCGCTTGGCCCAAAGGCGTAGTCGATGACTATCTCGCTCCCGGCGGCAATGTCAGTGGCGGCGACGAGGGCCGCGCCATGGATGACGTTGTCGGCGGATGTGGTAAAGTCTGCGTTGGGGACCCGCGCAATTTGATCGCTATCCAGCGTAGTCAGATCAAACACTATCGACTGGACGCGGGCGTTGGAGCTTCTGGTCCGGCATGATTGGCAAAGTGGCCGACGGCGACGTAGCTATCGCCATCATCAAAGGCTCGCGCCAGGCTCGGCCAGCCCGCCGAGCGGTAGCGATCGACACAGGACCGCCATACCGTGGTAGACAAGGCCGAGATGGCGACAGCTCCATCAAGTACTCTTTGCACACATGGGAGAGCAAGGAGGTACTCGTTGTCCACATACGCCGGATTGAGCGACATAATGGCAACCTGATCGTCAGAGAAAGACACGCCTGGGTAGAGGGCAATGACAGAGCCAGTGAGAATGGCGTCTCGGGCAAAGAGACCAGCACCGGCACCAGGTATGAGCGAGTCTTGTACAGTTACTTGGCTTTGGTAGTCTGCGTCGAGAAGCTCGAGCGCTGCGGAAGAGGTGGCGCTCATGCTGGTGTGGGCGATGGCGACAGGTGGTGAGCGGGAGCAGCAAGATGTGTCGGGCGGGGCATTGACGGCATTTCATTCAAGATCATCACGATCGTCGAGATTGTCGAGATCGAGCGAGGGCGAGTGGAGCAAAGGTGTTGGGGCGATGGCGGCTGGCGAGGGAAGAGGTGGTGCCGCGGCGCGAGGCGGGCTGGAGAGTGTCGAGGCCGCGGGGACAATGTCAAGGACGGCGGCGTGGAAGGGGGCAAGGGTCGAGCGGTGGCCAACCGAGACGAAGCGGATGCCGTGGACATGGAGAAGGTTGTACAGACTAGCCTCGGTCTGCTCGTCAAGGGCAGAGGTGGCCTCATCAAGCACCGCACAGCGCGGGCGGGCATAAAGCAGTCGCGCAAAGGCCAGCCGCTGCTGCTCGCCGACAGAGAGAGTAGCATGCAGGTCTAGCGGAGTGAAGAGGCCGACGCCGAGCTGGCGCGGTAGATCAGCAAGGCCGACGTCGGCAAGGACCTTGCGCAGCTCGAGCGCGTCGTCGCGAGTGGGAGAAGACGGAACTGGCGCCGGGTAGGCGAGCGCAGCAGCAAACGACGAGCGCGAGCCGCCCAGGTACGGGACCTGTGGGACAAAGGCGAGGTGCTCGGACGGGCGAGTGATGGTGCCGGCAAACGGCCAGAGGCCAGCGATGGCGCGTAGAAGCGACGACTTGCCGCAGCCGGACGGACCGCGGATGAGGAGGCCGCCACGCGGAACAGACACACTCACGTCCTGCAGGAGAACGCGACCGGTCGGGGTGCAGACAGTGACGCAGTCAAGGTCAAGCATGTCCGAGTCGGCGTCGATAAGGATGCCTGCATCCGGCTCGGGTGCGCTGGCGTCGTCGAGCGCGGTGCGGAGGGTGGCAAGACGTGCGGTGAGGCCGGCGGCGAGGGTGAGCTGCTTGGACAGTTCCAGGAGCTGCGTGAACGAGTAGATGAGGTAGATGGCGTAGAACGAGGTTTTGGAGATGATTTCGGCGGTCTCGCCGGGCGACTTGTGCTCGTAGCGACCGTGAAAGATCGGGATGGAGACAATGAGGTACGAGAGAATACCGCCGAGCCCAGCAAAGAACCGAGTGGAGAGGTCAAGCGGAAACTCTCGCCAGATGATGGCGCGCGCGTTGGAGACAAGGCGGCGGAGCGAGACGGCAAGGCCAGCGCTCTCGGCATCAGCGCCGGAGAGAAAGGCGATCGACTCGGCGTAGGTCCGGACTCGGGCGTGGCCGTAGCGGTAGTTTCCCTCGAGCCGCTCTTGCGCAAAGATGAAGGCCACGATCGGCGAGAGCAGGAACTTGTTGATGATGGTGGCGACGAGAAAGTAGCCGTAGATGTAGAGCGGACCCTCCCAGCCCATCGACTCGTAGGTGACGTAAGTGTAAAAGGCGATGATGAACGGCGCAAGGAGAAATGGCGGGACGGCCTGGGTCAGGGTCGTCGTCAAGTCGTCGACATCCTGGACCAGCCGCTGGTCCGGGTTGTCGATGCCGACGAGCTCGACGCCGTCTAGCCGCGGCAGCGCCGGCCGCGACAGGCCGTAGTAGGCACGGCTTGCAAGGTACTGGCTTTGCAGCATGCCTGAGAGCGCTGATCGCGTTCCCAGGGCGATGAGCGAGGCGAGGAGGGCGGCAAGCGAGTTGAGGAGGGCGACAATGATGGTGAGGACAAGCGATCGCCAGAGAAGCGCCACAAAGGCATCATGATTATGGGACGAGAGGACCGAGTAAAACCGAGAAGGCAAGAGGCCGACATAGTAAACAGCAACTTGCTCGAGGATGGAGACGGCAAGGAGAGCCAAGATCAAAGCCACCGAGACCGATGTCCGTGTCGATGCCGCCAGTTTCAGCAGCGATGCCAGCGATGCCACCAAAGAGCAATTGAGCTTGGCCACCGACCCACGTCCACTTGAGCTCCTCCTGCTCTCGCCGAGGCTCTCTGTGGCGCTTCCACTCCCGTTGATAGGTGTGGCGAGCAGCGGTGTAGATGCTGTGCCAGGCGGAAGAGCCATCCTGTTTGACCAGACGAGGGGGGGGGGGGTGGAGACGGGTGTGAGGGATCGTGCGGGAGATGGGCGCGCGGAGTGTGGAGCAGGGAGCAGTCATGACATACGTGGTGGAGGAGGGGACGGGCATTTGGGGAGGGGGGTTTTGTCATCAATTTGTGTGGCTATGTACGTACGTGTGAGTAGATGGGGGTGGGTGGGTGGATGGGCTGGTGGTGGTGATCAGTAGGTGAGCCAGCAGTAGAGCTTGTCATCGCCTGTGGAGACGAGGGCGGCTGACGAGCCGGACCAGGAGAGCGACGAGACACGTGCGCCGGCCTGGGAGTGAACAGCAGGGGCGTCGAGCTTGGCGCAGTTCCAGATCTTGACGGTGTCGGTGAGCGAGGAGGTGGCAAAGACGGCATCGTCGACATGCGACCAGGCGAAGCGGCCGGCCGAGCCGAGGCCGTGGGCAGGGCCGGTGTGGACAAGCGGGGAGAGGGCGTAGCCGGCGCGGATGTCCCACACAAAGTAAGCGTCGGCATCGAGACCGCCGATGCGTGACGGCGACGGGCCGCACCAGTCGACCGAGCGGAACGAGCCACCGTCCGGATGGAGGAGCGAGTAGGCGGCGGCGCCCATGCGGAGGTCGAGGACCGAGACAAGGCCGGCGGCCTCGGCCACCATGAGCTGAAACGGCGACGACGGGTGGAAGACCACGTCTTTTCCGGCCGAGTCAAGGGCAAACGAGCGGAGCAGGCCCTGGGTCTCGAGCGAGAAGAGCTTGACCGAGGCATCGTCCGAGGTGGAGGCGATGGTGTCGCCGGCGTCGGCGAGCGGAGAAAAGGCGAGGCTGTTGACGTATGACTCGTGCCCGTCGAGGACAACGCGGACGTTGAGCGACTCGAGCACGTCCGAGGCATAGTAGCGGATGGTATGGTCGTCGCCGGCCATGCAAAAGGCCAGATGGGCGTCCGAGGCCATGCGGGCGGCAGCGTCCTCGTCCTCGATGGCCACGGTGCCGTCGGCCCCCCGAGCCACAGCAGCCGAGCGAGAAGCAGCAAACGAAGTATCTGCCGAGAACGAAGCATTGGCGGCCATAGAGCGAGAAGCCATAGACGAAGACGGTGATGTGACGGTAGCGGCAGCCGATGCGGCGGCAGCTTGAGCAGCAGCGAGACGAGCAATGTCTTGATTGGCAGCGCGAGCATCTTCAGCAGCAGGACCATGAAGCGCAGCAGCAGGAGACCATGCAAGAGCATGTACATCACCCATGCCATGATGATAATCAAACATATGCGTCAGACTGGTATCATGTCGCACAAGGAGCGAGATACGGCTCCGTCCCGCCACTGCCACAAGCTCACCAGAGTGGCTGTAGGGTGAAAAGGCTGCGCATGAGAGCCGCTCAGTTGCTGTGTACGTGAATCCTCCAGACGCTTCAGTCGACATGATGTGTTGCGTCCTGCCTGGTGGGTGGTGGTGGGTGGTGGGTAGGTGGTGGGTACGGGAGCTGGCGTGGGTCGGTGGTGAGCGAGTGGGGTGGCGAGCGGCGGAGAGATGGCCGTGAGTTGGCGGGTAGCCGGTGATTGCAGGGCGGGGGGGGGGGGGGGGGGGGGTTCTTTGGGGGTATGGCATGAACGAGGGGAATGTGGCGATGACGATGAGAGGGTTTATCGTAGTGATGGAGCTACTATGCGTACTCCCAGAGTAGGCCGAGCGGGACAGCAAAGCCAAACATGCCGATAAATGAGGCAAACGAAGCCCACTGAAGCTTGGCAGTGCCGGAGAGGCCGTGGCCAGAGGTGCAGCCGCCGCCGAGTCGTGCACCAAAGAGCATGATGGCGCCTCCAAAGAAGGCAGCAGCGGGATGGACGCCATGGAGCTCATCAAAGGAATCGCCGAGGCTTGCTGAGGAAAACGAGCCGAGAATGGCGGCGATGACAAAGATGAGCTGGAAGCCGGACTTGCTCCAGATGTGCTTGCCCTTAAAGTACGACATCGATGACGAGCTCATGGCCCTGTTGGGCAGCAGCAGCGTCATCAGCGACGACAGGAGCGAGACAAACGAGGTCGACGCCCCGAGAGTGCGGTTGAGAATAAGCGCAAGTGGGAGCTGCATCGAGCCAAGGACAAGGCCCGAGGCCCATGGCGGCCACGCCCGCTTGGCAAGGACCCAGTCGGACTCGATCGTTGTCCCAGCAGGCAGATCATCGTTAGCAGGCACAACAATCTCGAGCGCGATGACCATGCCAGCAAACACCAGGCCGAGCGGGATGGCAATCGCTGCGTACGGCACGTTGAACTGCTTGTCGAGTGTCGGCGTCGCCGGCTGGCCAAAGGTCAGAAAGTTGAACGCGGCCTTGCCCTCGCTCTCGGACAGATGCGCGGTCTCCGAGTCCTGGATCGCCGCAGGCTTGCGGCTCGCTCCAGAGAGATACGGATGGACGAGGCCGTAGATGAGCGCGCCGAAAAGACCGCCGGCAAAGGTGAGCGGCGAGGTGGTGACGCCGGCACCGAGCTGCGAGAAGACTGTACCGGGGCATGAGCCGGCGACAACAAAGCCGCCCATGCCGATGAGAGCTCCGCCGATAAAGGCCGAGACAACACCGCGATCGTTGGTGTATGCGCCCTTCATCGTCGCCGCAAACGCCTGGGGTGCCACCAGCGACAGCGCCGCAAGCACAAAGGCCGATGTCGCGCCGGCGGCTGCAAACATCTTGAGCATGATAAAGTTGGAAAAGGCAAACTGCCGCCGGACGATGAACGGATCAAAGACCCAGGCCTTCTGCATGGCAAAGCCAAAGGCGACGCCCGTAGCCGCCATCACGACAAAGCCTAGTGCCCATGCTTTGGTCGTCAGGGCGGACGAGTTGGACTTGACCGCCGGACTGCTGCTTGTGAGTGGTGCCTGATCCATGGTGGTGGTTGATGATGAGGCACAAGTGTTAGAAGATGTTGAGCTGGAGGTCGAAGATGATGATGATATTGACATGTTGTGGTGGATGCTGATTGCGGATGTGGAGGAAGGCCTGCCGATTGCGTCGCTGTTTTTGTCTCTTGGCCGCCAAATGAGCAATTTCAGCCGTCAATGTAGGCGACGACGCTGGGTGTGGCGAATCTAGAGCTGATCAAATGCAGCCATTTAGCCGGCATGATTGGCAGCATTGTGTGCTGCAGTCTTGGCCATTTGGATGTGTATTGCGGCGAGCTGACTTTGTGTATGGGCCCCGCAAGCGGCTGGTAGCGATCTCGGCTGAAGATGCGTCCAATCACCGCCTTGATTGAACCAAATTGCGGACGAGATCCCTTATTGGCTAGCGTATCCGCGTCGTGAGCCATGTTTTGCCTGCCACACACACTTGAAGCCCGCCTCAGATATCCACAGCGAGCGTGCAGCACTGAGTGGATGTTCGGCTGATCTCGAATGCAGCTTGTGTGCCCTTGTTTGCCGCATAGAGGAGCTCGTCGCGTCCCGGTCATGAGGTGAGCGACCGCAGTGGCTTTCAGCCGAAATTGGCTAGGAAATTACACGTGGTACCTTTTCGTAGCTCATGCAGCGCTCAAGGTTGACTGGGACCTCCAAGGACGTCGAAAGTGAGTTCCAGACAGGCAAGTGCTGATTGACGAATATTTTTTGTGGGATGCCGCGCTTCCGCCGCCACCCGAGATACTCGTCTGCCAGTCGATGGAGTTCAGCGAGGCCGAGTTGGCGCCACAGCCGGTGTCAGCCAGCGCGCGGGATGCGGCGCAGAATGCTGCCTTGTCTGCGCTGTTTGACGACGGCATGGACATGCCAATGGACAACCTTGACGAGTTGAGCATGCTTGACAATCACGTCGAGTCGCCAGCTGCCTTGCTTGTACCTACCGCTGCTGCGAGCGCTCCGAGTGTGGCGGATGGCGGACAGGCCTCGATAGACGACGGCCGACACGATGGCGAGACGGCGTCAGAGACGGAGCACATGCCGAGCTCGTCAGGAGACGGATGCAGAGGAGCTGGCGACGAGCCAGCGCCGGTAGCGGCGAACGATGCCTCACGACCGTTGCCATTTTCCGAGACTGAGCTCGCGTTTATGACGGCTGGCCAGCGGCTGCGGTTTGCTCAGTTGCCCGCGGAGCGACAGAAGGAGATTGTGGGCAAGCGCCGTGCGTGGGAGGCGCGGAAGGCGAGACAGGATGGAGTGCTGGATCTAGAGGCTGCGAAGGGACCAAAGACGGGACATGGGGGTCAGATCGTAGGCATTGTGCTCCTTGTCGCTGCGCTGGGTACTGCCGCTGTTGGCGCCCTTGCAGTTGTCGAGGTCATCGCCTGGTCGGCGTGGTCGTTTGACCCAGTTGTGGGAGGCATCAACCTCTGGCTTCTCATTGGCCTCGGCGTGGGCTTTCTTGGATGCGCCGGTGCCGGGCTGTGGCTCTTGGTCCGCCGCCGCAAGCGCAAGCCGTCAACCACCGAGCGCGATCGCCCACAGACAGCGGGCAGGCCTTTGGCAGCCCCGACTCCAGCAAGTGCAATGGCTCTTGGAGCCGGCACCAGCGGGCCGTGCTACGACATGTCTTCAGAGAGCACTGCCGATACGGCACCAGCCGAGCCTGGTGACGACGGAGGGCTCGCCAATCCAGTCTTTGACCCGCTGGCGGACTCGTCGTCGAGCGGGCGCGGTGGTGCCAATCCACTGTTTGAAGATGGAGAAGCGAATCCGCTGTTTGACCCGTCGGCTGGCCTCGCCTCAGCGGTGGACAACCCGCTGTTTGATCTTGCTGCCGAGCCCGAATATCCGCTTTCAGCCGTGGCTGTTGCTGACGCGGGCACGATGTCTTCCTCCGATCTTGTCAACGCTGATGGCAGTGTCATGAACCCGCTCTACGACGACGCCACGCCCGCCGTAGTCTTTGATCCCGATGCGGACACGACCTCGTCTTCTGATCTCAACAACGACGCCCGGACCGTCATGAACCCGCTCTACGACGACGCCACGCCCGCCGTAGTCTTTGATCCCGATGCGGACACGACCTCGTCTTCTGATCTCAACAACGACGCCCGGACCGTCATGAACCCGCTCTACGACGACGCCACGCCCGCCGTCGTCCTTGATCCCGATGCGGACACGACCTCGTCTTCTGATCTCAACAACGACGCCCGGACCGTCATGAACCCGCTCTACGACGACGCCACGCCCGCCGTAGTCTTTGATCCCGATGCGGACACGACCTCGGCTTCTGATCTCAACAACGACGCCCGGACCGTCATGAACCCGCTCTACGACGACGCCACGCCCGCCGTAGTCTTTGATCCCGATGCGGACACGACCTCGGCTTCTGATCTCAACCACGACGCCCGGACCGTCATGAACCCGCTCTACGACGACGCCACGCCCGCCGTAGTCTTTGATCCCGATGCGGACACGACCTCGGCTTCTGATCTCAACCACGACGCCCGGACCGTCATGAACCCGCTCTACGACGACATGGACAACGACAGTGATGGCCACGAGGCAGGGTCCGCCATGAACCCCCTCTACGACGATGTGGATGACGACGGACATGTGGACGACAGTCATGTTGACCACTTGCACGCCGACACCGCACTGACAACGGCCGTTGACCTAGATGCCGACGTGACGTCGTCATCTGACCTTGGCGACGCTGACGGCTTCGTCGCAAACCCCGTCTACGACGACCCAGACACGGCCTCCACGTCCGACAATGCCGACACACGCAACACCTCTACTCCAACAAGCCGGCAACCGTTTACACCTCCTCGCCGAGCCCCGATCCCGCTCAGCCCGTATCCCGAGCTGGGCACTCCGTCGCGCCACTCGCGCCGCGTCGCGCGCCCGGCTGCTGCCGCGTCCGCCTCGCCGCGCCCATCGGCGGGCGGCGCCGATGCCATCCGCGCCTACCGCCCGCGCATCTGGCAGATCCACAATAAGCTGTAGCACCAGCCGTCAGCTCCGTCGGCAAACGCAGTCGCAGCCCGAGACTGGACACTCGTTGTGGTCCGAGAACCACGCGTCCATGTGCCCAGCGTGTCCGCCGTGCCGGCACGTGAGGCACCACGACCACCACGTGTCAAACGCCGCCGAGCCCGGCGCGAGCGAGTTGACCTTGCGACCGCGGACAGTCGTGTTGTTCGACATCGAAGCTGTCGCCACCACCTCGAGCGGGAGGAGACAGAGTGCACACTTGGGCAGCGGCCGTGCGCACGATGGGCACGACGTCGCCTTGGGCCGCCGCCGGGCCGCAGGCGCCGACGACGACAGCGTAAACTGTCGCAGCTTGGACGACGCCAGCATCAGGTGCGAGATCGACCGGTCGCAGTGGAAGCACCGTGCATGGACGTCGGCCGCAACCGCCGTCGTCCCGCGCCCTGCTGGCCGCGCCATCGCGCTCCGTTCCGTCTCTGCCAGCCGCGCCACGTCCCACTTGGCTCGCACGTGCCAGAGCTGCCACCGGTCGAGCAGGTCGCGGTACGTCTCGATCCACACGTTGACCTGTGGGTCGTCGCGCTCGCGCGGCACCACCGCAGACATCGCCAGCGCGGCAGTCTGCACATCCGACGTCAGGTCGACGTAGTTGGCAAAGAGCTCCACGCCCGCAGGCGTCAGACCCGTCAGCAGCACCCCTCCAACGAGCCGCGCGCCACAAGCTGTGCCTGCGTCTCAGCGAGATACAGCGCAAGGTTCTCGTCAGAGAGGAACCGCGCTGCAAACGCCACCCGGTCCGTCAGCTCGAGCCCGCCCTCGAGGAGGACCGGGAGGAACGAGTCCTCGTCCGACGAGAGGAACGCAAACGCCGCCCGGAGGTACGGGTGCTCGAACAGCGGCTGTAGCGTGAGGCACAGGTCACGCCACAGGCCGTCGGTCTCGTTGTTGAAGCCGGCAAACGCCATCGCAATGAGTCTCAGGTTCTTGTTCGACTTGTCCGACTTGAGCGCACGGATTGCCCGCTTCATGTCGAGGTGAAAGAGCGCAAGCGCCGCAGACCGCTCATACTGCCGCTCCTTCTCCAGCGACCGCAGAATGCGCTCCAGCGCCCGCCGCTTCCGCTGCGCGTCCGATGACGCCCGGTCGTTAAACGACCCGGGCACCCAGTTGCACATCCGCAGTACCGCGTCACGCGCCGGAGACTTGTACACCGTGAACGCTGTCGAGAACGGCGCGCGGTGCGGGCTCTGCGCCTGCGACGCCGAGCGTGCCTGCCTGAAAATCGCGCCCACCCCGTCGTACGGCGACTCGAGCTTGGCCCCCGTCGCAGGATCCACCACAAGGTTCGCCACGCGGTCGAGCCACGCCCAGAGGAAGGTTAGGCCTGGCGAGTACAGCTCCGACGTCCGCCGCGACGTCGCCAGAATCGACAAGTTCTTCGACGCGTTCATCGAGTACCCCTGCTGCGCCCGCTCAAACATCTTGGCCGACACCTCCATAACCTCAAAGCCCTGCACTGTCCGCCCCACAGAGGTGTGGCCCTTGCCAGCCGGAGCACGCCCACTCCCGCTCTCGCCACGCACCGCCGCAGAGCTCGATGCAAACGTCCGCGACTTGTAAGACGACGAGAGCTGCGACGGCGTCGCCACCGGCCCGCCAGCTCGTGTCTTGGCCGCAAACCCGGCCGGGTCGTCGGCAAGCAGCGCGGCCGCAGCCACCGCCGCGCTCCCGGCCCGCGACGCACTCACAGCCACTGACCCGTCGCCGCCAGCCACTCCGCCGGCCGCACCGCCCCCAGCGCCGGCCGTCGCGCCGCTCGTCACGTCGCCGCCCTTGCCGCTCCCGCCCTTGCCGCTTCCATCTTGGCCGCCCCCGCTCCCGCCCGGCGTCGTCGTCCCGCCGTTTCCTGCGCCCGCCCGTACCTCGACCTCAGGTCCGATCACCCGCCCAGCGTACTTGATCTTGCCGACGCCAAAGACCAGGTCCGAAAACGGCGACCAGTCGAGCGGAATCGGGCCGTTGAGCGAGACCTCCTCCACATTGCCCGAGAGCGAGATGGTGAGCGCACGGTTGGCAATGTGCGGCGACCACGAGAACGACGAGAGTGGGTCCGACGTCCGCATCACCCGTGGTTTGTAGTCGGAGAGCTCGGCCACAAACTCACCCTTCATCGACCCAAACTCGGACTGCATCAGCGACGCCGTCGCAGGCGTCACCAGCGCAAGGTCGTCGTCCGACGAAAAGTCCCACAGCTTGACGTACGCGTCGCCCGAGCCCACAGACGCAAGCACACCTGACGAGCTCGGCGACCACGCAATCTGTGAGAGCGACTTGGAGCCAGACTGCACAGAGCGGATCGGCGAGGTCAAATTGCGGATGTCCCACACCATGATGACCCCAGTCTGCGGTGAATACGTGGCCACGCGGTGCGGTGCGAGCGTGTCAAACTTCATCCCGCACACAGGCCCGTTGTGCAGCCGCTGCCCGTTCGGCTGCGACACGTCCATCCGAAGATCGTAGACGTGGAACCACGATTTGACCGTCCCCACCGCAAGACAGTTGGGCATCGACGGCAGCCACTCGAGCGACGCCGCACCCTGCGAGAGTGACACCTCAGACACCCGTTCCGGCGCAGACTCGGCCGAGCTCGACCCGTACTCGGTCTCCACAGAGTCCATGTAGTCGCGCGAGAGCGACTGTGTCGCGTTGATGTCCCACACAAGCGCACACATCTCAAACTTCATCGTGTCCAGCCCAACTGCAATGTACTGCTGGTAGTACGTGTTCCATGCAAGATCCAGCGCCGGACGAGTCGTCACAGGCTTGACCTCCACAATGTTGGCTCCGCCCCGCGCCGCGTCAGCCGCGTCAGCACCATCTTGCCCGACGAGAGCCCCACCGCGAGCAGGTGCGGCATGTTGGCATCCGGACACCATTCCACACACTACCCACACGTACACCCATACACAGCCATACACACAATCGGCAGTCCCAAACGTGCCCATCTGTGAGCATCATACGTCAACCATCTCCTCCCCCCCCCCCCCACACACACACACACAAACACACACACACAAGCAACTCGTCGCAGGTACGTACCCGCGGGTAGGCCAGTCGCGAGTTGACCGACAGCAGGTCATACGACGACCTCAGCGAGTCCTTGCTCGAGTCGTAGTTCTACGCCACCTCCCATTTCAGCCGTAAACCATGCGTGGTAAGTCCATTGCCCTCATGCATGTGCCCATGTATGCGCCCGCTGACCCCCTCACCCTTTGGCCCCGCAGCCTGTGATCAGATCGTGACGGCTTTTCTCTGAGAATGGCGAAAGCGGTCAGCGGGTTGATCAAGCCGCTCCCCTCCCTTCCCCTCCTCCTCACCCATAGCTAGCCATTACCTCTGAGAACTCGTAGAACTGTAGGTCCTCCGCAGCAATGACAAACTGGTTGGGATTGTGCGGCGACCAATCAATGAGCGACGTTCGCGCCTCAGTCATGGACATGGTCGCCAGGACGAGTGTGCACCGCTCAATGGCGCAAGCGGCCCGTGAACAAGCCCACCCAGCTTAGCTGACCTTGCCATAGCACAGCGTACAGCCGCACAACGCCAGCCACCTCTCGCCACTACACACGCCTCATGTCTGCAAGTCTTAGCCTTGCGCTCGAAGAGCTGGGGTGTCCCTATTGGGAGAGCGTGACCTTTGACGGCGGCGAAGCGGCAGCGGCAAGGCCAAGTCGCCTTCGTGCCCTGGCCTGGCTGGTCTCTGTCTGCGATGCGCGTGCGCTTCCTCGTGATCGGCTGGGCGCCGTGAGCCGCGACGAGTTACTCCTTCCGCTGAGGATCCTGGGTCTCGGAGGCGTGCTGAAGGCGCGCGCGCGTGTGCTGGACCTGCCGGAAGCGGCGGCGGACCACGCGAGTCTAGTCGGCATGCTGGTGGAAGAGCGGCTGCCCAAGTCGATTGATCTGTTCGGCTGGCAGTGGCTCGTCAAGCTGGCCAAGGTCGAGATCGACAACGAGATAGCTGCTGCAAATGCTGTGGTTGCAGCCGACGACGCAGACGTGGTGGACGGCCGCGGATGGGACGCTGCCTACGTCCGCACGCCTGGATCCGAGGCCGCCGGGCTCCTCGCAAATGAGCGAAAGCAGCTCGCAGCTCGCACCGACGACTTTGGCGCCGCACTGCTGCGGCAGATTGCCGCCGACGCCCAGTCGATCTTTGATCCGGAGACTGGCCTGCAAGCCGTCATGCGCGAGGCTGGCATTGAGCCAGTGTCGCTTCCCCCACCAGCCCGTAAGCCGGGCCACGTCGTGCCGGTCGACCTTGAGCGAGTCGAAGCCCTTCGCGCTGCTGCTCAGTTGGAGACCGTCGCCGCCAACGAGGCGGCGAGTAAGGCGGCGGCGAGAGCTCACGCCGCGGCGGTTGCCGAGGCCAAGGCCATCGCCGGTGCACAGGACCGCAACGAGAATGAGGTGACTGCGGCGGTGCAGCCGCACGAGGCGCTTGCCGACGTCCTCACTCGGCTCTCGGCCAAGATCGACGCTGTGGTTGCCATCCGCGACTCTGCGTACAAGCCGTGGCTCACGCCGGGCGCCCTCACCCCGCCAACGCCGTCGCCACTCTCATCGGCGGTCGTCGAACTTGGGCCGGCCTTCGACCGCCTCGGCCAATACCTCAGCGACGTCCATGCCATCACCTCGTCTGCCCATGCTCTCCCGGCCCGGCTTGACGCCGCGCTCGGCGAGCTCGAGACCGATCCCCTCCTCGCCCCCGCCACCACCGCACCTCTTGTCGAGCGAACTCGCATCCTCCGTCGCCCCCATGCTTCATAGTCTGGTCACTCATTCAGCAGAGCACGTCCAGCTGTGCGTCCGTCAGGTACAGATCAGAAGCGAAGTTGTGCAACAAAATTCCCAAGCTGACCAAGTCCAAGTCCAAGAGCAAGGCAAGAGCAGCAACAGGAGCAGGAGCAGGAGCAAGAGCAGGAGTAAGAACAAACCCACCCACTCCACTCTCCTCTTTCCGTACCTGACCACCTTTACCATGGTACGACTCCCTCTCCTTCCCCCTCCTCCTCCTCCTCGTCCCTTTCCCCCTGCTCTTGCCCTCCCCCCCCCCCCCCTTCCCTGCATGTGTGCTTTCTGCAAAGACGCGCGCCCAACAGACGGTGGTGGAGGCATGGCCACCAACAGCCACCCACCCACACCCATGCAAATGGACACACCCACACGCACGCACCCACACACACACATATGACACACACACACACACACACACTCACGCTCTAGCTTATTGCAACCATATGTGGGTGGTGGGTGGTTGTCCTCCTCTCTCTCTCTCTCTCTCTCTCGCATTCTTTCCCCGCTCTCCGTCGTGTGTGTTGGTTGACACCGGTCTGCTGAATGTGGCACGGATGATGTGCTTGACGATGGCAACTCGGTTGGCTACCATCTGCTTGTTCGCTTGCTACCGTTCCGCCTGCTACCCCCTACCGTCTGGTATTTCACACCTCCTCCTCTCCACTAATGGGGGTACAGGCGCGTGAGGAGCTCGAGGCGCTCATGGCCGAGAAGATGGAGCTCAAGAACAAGATCAAGAAGGCAAAGGCTGCAGGCTCTCCGCCAGAGATCATCCAGCCCATTTACGACCGCTACACTGAGGTCAAGGCGGCCATCGACGGCATTAACGCGGCAGACTCGGCCCGCGAGGCCGAAGAGGCCAAGGCGGCGACGGTCGACTTTTCCGGCCGGGCTGGGTATGCCGACTCGCCGATCAACGTGGCGGCGCTCTCACCGTCGCGCGAGTCGGCAGCAGCGCGGTACACACTTGCCGAGCTCAACGCCGAAAAGGCGCGGCTGAAGGGAGCCGTGCGTGACGCCAAGGTCTCGGGTGCCGCGCCCGAGATTATTCAGCCGATCTATGACGAGTACACCCGAATCAAGAACCTGATCGATGAGTGGAACCCGGCGGAGCCGCCGCTCAAGCCAGGCGCGTCGGCGGCGCCGGCCGAGCCCGAGTCGGCTGCCCATACGGCAGCGGCGTCAGAGCCGGCACCCGTGGCGATGGCACAGGCAGCGCCGGCAAGCACGACGGCGGCGCCGGTCGTCGCGCCGATGCCGGAGCCTATTCCCGAGCCCGTGCTTGTTGAGGTGGTGGCTGCGCCAGCCGACGACGTCGAGAGCGACGCCGGGAGCGCAACGCCGACGACTGCACAGGCGCCCAGCCTCGGTGCCGTCGCGCCAGCCGAGCCCGGGCCCGAGCCCGAGAGCGAAGAGACCGACGCGCCGGAGATCATCGAGGGTGAGCTCGAAGTTGAGGTCATCAAGCGGTTCGGCGGCTTTGCGCTCAAGCCGAGGTATGTGGTGATTGAGGAAGGCGTGAAGCGCGACGAGACTGAAGTGGTGGTGTACAAAAGCGCAGCCAAGGAGAAGGAGAAGATGCGGATCTCCGTCCTTGGCGTACACCTGCGGCCAGTGGTCGGCGAGGCCGACGGCCAGGCGACATCCGGATTCGAGATCCTGCAGGGCCGCGGGCTGGGCAAGGGCATTGTGTTCATGGCGGCGACCAAGGCGCTGGCCAAGGCGTGGTTCCGGTCGCTGTGGAAGCTCATCAAGGGCATCGAGAATGAGTACCGGGCGCAGCTGTTTGTGCCTCGTGCGCCCGACGGGTTCAACGGCAAGGTCCTCCACATGGAGTGGATGGAGGTACTGCTCAAGTCCGAATGGGAGTGGCGGTTCTTTGTGCTCTCCGACTTCTGCCTCGCCTTTTACGACACCTTCCCCGAGAGCAACGACGCGCTGACACTGCCCGAGGCCGTGCTCAAGGTCGGGACGCGGACGCCGACGTCAGCCTCGCCGTACGCCTTTCCGTTTGTCGGCTCGCTCCTCCGCAAGGAGCCGAGCTCCGAGTACGCGCGGCGGCACGTCTTTACCATGACCTCGCCGCAGGGCGTGCTGCTCGCCATTGCGGCGTACTCTGACCAGCGGCACGCCCAGTGGGTCTCGGGCCTCGACATCACGTCACGCAAGGCCCTGACGACGACGCTGGAGAACGACGGTGAGATTGCCTTTCCGGGATTCCTTGTCCAGTCCGGCAAGGCCGACTCGCCTGTCGAGCTCGTTGTCCTCTCGCCGACACGACTCGCCATGCGTCGCAAGGCCGACGCCGACGCCTCGGCCTCGCGCCCGGCGGCCTCGCCGCTCTTCCACATGGACCTTGAGCTCGAGATCGAGACCGAGGACACTATCCTCTGGGAGCACTCGTTCTCGCAGCTCAAGCAGTTCAAGCGCGACCACTCGGAGATCAAGCTCGACTTTGACAAGTGGCAGCCGGGCGAGATCGTTTTCCGCACCAACGCCACCCACGCCGTCTCCAACCTCCTCGCCACCCTCCTTGTCGAGGCGGCGAGGCGGTCCAAGTCGCGCAAAAAGTCCAAGTCCAAGTCCAAGTCCAAGTCGCGGGCAAAGTCCAAGGCCAATGCGTAGTAAACGACGACGTGATTCAGGCTGCCGCCGCGAGGACGAGCCCGCCACGCGCGTCCCGGCACCCGGCATGCAGCTGCCCTACCTGACCTCCTGCTTCCGGGCCCGGGTCCGGCCCCAGGTCGCCCCGGCCCCGGTGCGCGAGACCGGTGATACTGATCGCGGGGCCGGACAGCTACAACAGCGCTTCGTCCTTGAGGGCAAAGCTGACCTTGCAGCCACACTCCGAGTCAGCGAGGTTGTTGTTGAGGACTTCGAAACCCTTCTTGCGGATGGTGTTGATGTGCTCGAGGACGGAGCCCTTGCCGAGGCAGGAGAGAGAGACAGCATCAACGACGACCTTTGCGCCGTCCTTCTCAAACACCTCATCATCATCATTAATATCATGGGTAAGCTCAAAGGTGTATGCAAAGCCATGGCAGCCCTGGCCTCCAGCAACACCCATTCTCAGCGCAACAGGTGCTTGGCCATTCTCTCCGCCCTCGTCAATAGCTTGACCCACAAGCTCCTTGACTGCCTTGGCTGACGCGTCCGAGACCACCACATGCGGCGTTTGCGTAGCATGCCCACGCCAAAGCATACTTCCCACTCCGCCGACCCCAGCCATTCCAGACCCCATCATCGTCGTTGTGAGCACACTTCCCATACGCAGCATCTTTGAATGTGTAGCGTTAGCGTCAAGTGTGGGTTCGTCTGAGTGGGTGGGGGTGGGTGGGTGCGGCGGTGGTGTCGCTCCGCCTGGCTCGACGGCTTTGAGTTTTCCTCGCACGTACGACTCCGCTGGCCTCCCGTGCCAGCACATTGTGTCAATCAGCACGGTGATCTTGCTTGTGAAGGGGGAATTCGGTCGTCGTGCTCCCATCTTTGATGACGACTCGGTTTAGCAGGTCGGGACGGGCCATGTGAGGGGAATAGCTCACTCGGCGGCCATCCGGCGGACGATAAAGGCAATTGCTTCGTCAGAGTCAGAGTCGGACGAGTGCATGTCCAAGTCGGCGTCGTCGCAGTCAGAGTTGTCGCTGTCCGAGTCGGCGATGGTGACGCGGGCAAGCGAGTCGGCGACGGCGTCCAGAGAAGTCACAATCTTCCTCTTCTCATCATCATCATCATCACCCTCATCATCATCATCGAAGGCAGAGGCAACGGGTGCGCACGAAGTTGCGACGGTCACAGTCGATGTGATGGCGCCCTTTTTCTTGGCTGTAGCCGTGGAACGCGCCCGGCGGAGTGTCCTCGGTGGGCCATTCTTCGGTGCCGCGCGCGCCGAAGCCGGCAGCACCTCGGTGCGGCTCGACTGCTTCTTGGCCTTCTTCCCGGTGCCAACCCGGAGGACCTTACGCTCTGCAGCGGCGCCGACTGCACGGTCGCGGCCCGGGGCTGCCGCCGCGGCAGCTCGTGGAGGGCCACTGTTCCCGCGCCCGCGTCCGCGCTCGCGCGGCCGACTGAACTGCGACTTGCGGCGCGCGTGCGGCGCGGACGATCCCGCCATGCCACCGCCTCTGGACCTCCCGGCGGTCGGCATGCCTTGCGCAGACGGGGCCATCCGCGTCGCGTGCAGGTCGGGATGCAGCTTGGGCTGAGGAGGTGCAAGCGGCGCTGGCGGCGGCATCGCCATTGCAGAGGCAGGTGTGGCCGACGGAGGTGCAGGCGGGCCGGCAAACGCATGTGCCGGTGCCGCCATCAAAGGGAGGCCGACCGAGAGGTCATCGTCGTCGGTGGCAACGCAATCCATCAGCTCGTTCTCAGCAGGGGCTGGAGCAAGCCCGCCCGCGCCGAGGATGTCGCCGGGCGAGATGTGGCCCAAACCCGCCAGTGGCGAGCCCAGCACCATGTCGCCGGTGGTGCCAAACGGCGGCAGCGGCTCAATGGCGCTGATGGCAAAGCCGGTGTGCTGGGGACCCTCTTCGGGCGTCTGCGAGTAGCTCCTGCCGTCCTGCGACGAGCCTGGAGCGCCCGACGGAAACGGCAGCGGGCCCGGGAGAAAGGCATCAGCATTGAGCATGCCATCTGCGCCAAAGCCACTGCCAGCTGTTGAGCCACTGGCAGCATTGGTCGCGGTTGAAGGGTAGCTCGTGGTAGGCGGGAGCGAGAGATCAATGTGGCCGAGATCGGGATGATTGTCATCGATGACAAGATCAATGAGGTCATAGGGATCTTGGCGAAGAGATTGACCTCTCAGTTGACGAATGGTATCAATGGCCGACTGTAGAGTCTCCTTGGTCTTGGTCTTGGCAGGCAAGCCGAGTACAGCATTGAGTTCACCAAAGAGTCCCTTGACCTCTGAGCGGAGCTTCCTCAGACGAACACGTTGCTTGGCCAGAACATCCGCCTTGCCCACCGTAGTGCTTCCAGTTCCGTTCTTGGATGGTGTATGCTTTATCTTGCCTGTATGGCTGTGCATCTTCCTTCCTCTCTCTCTCTTTCTCTCTGTCCTTGTCCTTCTTCTCCACCGTATGCCTCTGAGACTTGCTTGGGTGAAGTCAGGTGGCGTCGTTCGCGTCCGTCTCGGCATCCGGTTCCGCCACCGGCGCCGCATGCCAACAACAACTCGCCTGTTTCGCTCGTCACAGATCATTTTAGCAGAAAAGCAGGCAAGGGCTGGCTACGGGTGCTTGGCAAGCGAGGCGGCGACGGTGGCGGCAGCATCGGCAAACGAGTCAACGCAGGTAGAGAGCGAGGCGTAGGCCTTGTCAAAGGCATTGGCGTCGACGTCATCGGCTGCGAGGACGGCGGCGACCGGGGCGTACTCGGCGGGACAGACGACCTTGCCGACGCAGAGCGCCATGGCCATGCCGCCCTGGCCCAGCTCGCCGGCGACGTCTTCGCCGGCGTCGGCGCGGGCCTCGAGCGCAGCAAGCGTCTCCATGTGGGACGAGCAGGCGAGCTCGATCCGCGAGGTGATGGAGGCGGCAGCTTCGGCCGAGAGCGGCTCGCCCGGGGTGTAGACCGGAACGCCAGCATCCGCGCCCTCAAGCTTGGAGCCTGCAGCCGGGTGCGGGTTGCGGGAGCCAGCGACGCTAGCGGCCGGCGGGCCTGGCCAAGCATGCGCTTGAAGGCCATCTTGGTCACGTCCCACGCCGCCGTCGGCGAGTCGAGGGCCGGGCGAACCACCATGGTGATGGACTTGATAGAGTCCACGTCATGGAGCTCGGGCATCTGGTCGGCCTCGCTCGCCTCCTCCGAGTAGTAGTAGTCGATGATGTAGCGGACGTGGGTGCCGCAGCGGTCGACGACCCAGTCGTGCCGATCAAACGGCTTCGGCCCGCCGAGAGCAGCCACCATGCGGGCCCGCGGCGAGAGCTCGTGCGGACGGCCGCAGAACTTGAGCAGCTTGGGGCAATCGCACTCGTCACCGTGGAACATGGCCTCCCACTCCTCGACCATCCGCCACGTCCGCTCATTCATGTTGTTGTGGATGGCAACGACGGCAGCGGCGTGGTCCTCGGTCATATCGCCGAGTTTGCCCTTGCGCGCCAGCGCGTTGTAGAACATCTGCGGCGAGGGGAAGGTCCACGTCCCATCGGTCCCGCCCTTCGGAATGGAGCTCACCACCCGCTCGGTCGGGATCTCCTTGGTCTGGCCTTCGGCCGGCGCCTGGTTCGGGTTGAACGGCATGTTGTTGTCCGGGTTGATCTGCTGTCCGTACACGTTGTACACCACATTGCCCTGCGCATCCACATGCCGCACAGGACATCCACCTCCGCTCTCCTTTTCAGCATCGCTTCCGCTCGCGGCAGCGCCGTTCGATCCGCTGCTCGTCGATGACGACGACGCCTGGCCCGACTTGCCGGCAGAGCCAAAGCCGAGCGGGCACGAGCCACCGTCAGCCGCGCTGCTGGCGTCAGCTCCGGCTTTCACCGGGCAGCCACCGGCGGTATTCTGCGGCTGGACAGGTGCCTGCTCGGTCGAGCTTGCACCACCCATGTCTGTATCTCTCAAGCTGTTGAGATTGCTCGGAAGTTGGCCTCTGTCTTCTCCATGCCCACACCGGTGAGTCGCGTCAATGAAAGCGAGCGGATGCGCTCCAATCCTCGCCGCGTCACCGCTGCCACTCTCGCACCACCCAAGCACATCATCTACAATAGCAGCAACATATTCATCCCAACAAGGACACGCACAACTAACATACGAACAAGATAACCGCCTCGGATCAAAGAAGTCGAGTTACAAATGCGTCAGGTGTGTCCGCAACTGTGCCCTCCTCACCGCTGTGGCTCGCCAGCCGACGCAGTTTGTCGCGTCGTGGCTGCTGACTGATCTCAGTGCGTTGGGAGGGAGGGGAGGGGAGGGGTACGGGAAAGGCTCGAATAGACGAACAGGGCAGTGAAAAGGGTGCTTGTGTAAGGTCCCTAGGGGGCGAGGGCTGATGATGGGCGAGCGTGTTCTGCGCGATACGGGGGCATCTTGTCTGGTCTTAGCGTTCAGAATCATTGATCACGTAGCAGAAATGTCATGTTGTGCTGCGCCCTGCATAAGCGTTTGGACGGAGCGATGCGGCGAGGCGGCCGTTAACAGGGACGGACTTAAACCGTGCATTTGTGCCACGTACCATCGACGAGGATGCCACCGCGCATGTGGCCGACAATCGAGAATGATCTAAGTGCAGCTGTGGCTTGATCAAGGCGTTGGTGAAGCTCATCATGACCTCGCCCATGCGATCGGACCGATATCAAGGTAAGCCAGAAGCAAGCCCATCTCACATGACCCACAGTATTAGCAGATGAGATGATTACCAAGTCGTGCCCCCCACCCAACCCCACCGACGCGCCACCCACCCCATCGAAGCGCCACCCAAATCACGGCATTTGCCATGTCGGCCAATTCCCCGCAACGCACGCGGCCGCCGAGACTAACCCCCCCTCCCCCCTACGAGCACCTCTCTCACCCCCTCCCCCCTCCACCCCCTCCACCCCTTCCACCCCCCACCCCCTCCACCCTTTGTACACCCATGTCCCTCCTCCGACCTAACACCGAAGACGTACCCCCTCGGGCAGTATCAGCCAAAGAAAAGGGTACGCCACCTTGCGCCTGCCCTCACTAGTCCTGCCACCTCCTCTCCCTCTCTCCCCACCCGCACCTCCCCCTCCCCCCCTCCCCTCCTCCCCCCCCCTTCTACACAGCCCAGACTGGATCGATCGGTGGCGGAACTATGATTGGAATCGGCGGAGGATGGGCTTAGAATGCATGGCAAAGTCATCAAGCGGCTGGAAGTCGTCCTGTTTCAATGATCTGCTCTTCAACCGACGTGCTCGTCGCACAAGCCACAAGCCACGAGCCACGAGCCGCGAGCCACAAGCGGCGAGCCACGGGCCGCCAGTCTGGGATAGCCAATCGTCTGCAGTTGACGATATGTTTTGCTCGATTTGTTGCAGCCTCATCGCATGCAGCGATCAAGCTGGAGCCGATGTACAGTGCGCCGGGCGCAACTCACCGATGTGTGGCGTGGTGTAGGATATGCTCTGTCTGTGTTCGAGTCTGCGATCGAGGACGTGCTAGAGACGCGGTGGTGTATGAAGGTGAAAGAGGGCCAGCTCAAGCCAAGGCTGTTTATCCTCACGCGGTACCGCATTGCTTTGGCGAGGTTTGGCAGTCGGCGGGGCAAGGGCGCCATCGGAACGGCAGTCCCGCTGACAGGGGTGGTGAGACTCTCGGGATCGTTGAGAAATGGCCAGTTTGTTGTGGCGTACTCGGGCGTGTGTGTCGGGCGATGGGACCTCCGCTTTGCCTCGTCCGAAGACGCCATTTCGGTGGCCAAGATGGTGTTTGACGGCGTCTTTCGCGCCCGCATCGGATGGGAGCTTGACGCCTGCCCTTCGCTCTCGTTCTCCAAGTCGACAACGTCGTACTTTCACGACCGGCGCGAGCGCATCGAACTGCCATACGACGGCTTGGCGTACGCGTACCCGGCGTACGCGTGCGGCTACTCGCGCTCGGCACCCGACGAGATCGTCATCACCACGCAGCACTTGCTTTACCGCTACCCGCTGGCCGACACCTCAGGCAAACCGGTTCTTCCACTCCGGACCGACGTCCAGTTTTCAATCGGCAAGGTGGGGACGCTCAAGGGCGCGTCGCTTGACGCCGGCCTCCCGCTTGTCCGTGCGCTAGCCCGCAACCGATGGTTTCGCACCTTTCGCATCCGTTCCAACTCCAAGTACAAGCACGCGCTCCGGGTTCTCGCTACCACGCTCAAGTACAACACTGCGCTGCAGGGCATCGAAGTCAACCACCCGCCCGCGGCCAACAAGGTCAAGCTCCTGCTTCTTGCACGCGGCATTGAGTCGAATCCGGGCCTTGTCATCACCACTCTCTCGTTTGTCTCTGTCACGCTCTCGGCCGTCGCCCATGTGCTCGGACGGGCTCTGATGTCGCTCACACACCTCAAGTGCCTGACGCTCGAAAAGGCCTCGCTGAACGACGCCGGCTTTGTCGACATCTTTGGCGCGGCGGCGTCGGCCGAGCCGCCGGCGCTCGCCGGCCTTGTCGCGCTCAACCTTGCTAGCAACGGCTCACTCGGCTACGACGGAGCGGCAGCATTCCGCAACTGGCTGACCTCGGGCGCCGGGTCCTCGCTCCGCTCGCTCGTCCTCGACGGGACCATTGTTGGCTTTGACGTCCTCTTTGCCGCCCTCTGCACCGGCGACAGCATCCCACTGGAGTTTCTCGACATCTCGGCGTGGCAGATCCCGCACGCTTCGGCCTCGGCCGCCGCGCTGCTGTACACCCAGTCGCCGACGCTGAGGGCGCTCTCGCTCGCCAGGGCGCGCGGCATGAACGCGGCATCTGCCGAGGAGCTTGTCAACGCCCTCGGCTCGGGCGAGCTCGTTTGTCCGCGCAAGCCGCTCTGCCTCGATCTGACCAAGCTCAAGATCTCCAACTGGAGCAGGTTCAGCGGTGCCATGGGCAGACTCAGCGGGCGGCTAACGTCGCTTGTCCTCGACGACGCGGCGCTCAAGCCGGGCGCCTTTCTGGAGCTCTGCCAGTCGCTGTGCTCTGTGACCTCGCTCAACTCACTCTCGCTCTGCCGCGTTTTCAAGGGCTCCAAGCACCGCAAGACCATCGGACAGTCGATGGCGCACCTGGCGGCGGTGGTTGCCGCGGTCGACCTGCGTGCGCTCTTTGTCAACGGCAACGGCTCGTCGGCGGCGCTCGGACTTGCTGGCGCCGAGGCGCTGCTCATTGACGTTCGCTCGCTCGCGTCGCTCGTAACGCTCCACCTCGCCCACAACAACATGACAGCCGAGGGCCTCGAGTATGTTGTCCGCCTTGTGTACAGCTCGCGCAACCTGCGGTGCCTCGACATCGACGACAACAAGATTGGGATGGCCGGGCTGGAGAGCCTCGCTGTCGCCATTGCGCGTTCCGACACCATCATCGCTGCCGAGGTGCCCAAGACCGACGTGTCGGGCATTGAAGACCAGCTGAAGGCGGTCAAGGTGCCACGGCTACTCGCGGAGAACCAGCGGCGGCTCAACATGTGTCTCGACATCCTGAGGAACACACCCAAGCAGAACCGATTGGCGCTGCTTGACCCGAGGGCAGCAGCCGACTCGGACGACGAGTCGGACTCGAGCGTGTACGGCGAGGCAGCGGTCGGCCTGGTCGACCCGCTTGGTGCGGCACTGCCAGATGGTTCACGGCTTCTCTTCCATCGGGCTATGGGCAAAGAAATGGCGCGGTTCGACCAGATGTCATCACGGATGGCGCCGACGCTCAACGCGTCTCAGCTCTCGCTGGCGTCACTCGCGGAGCTGACGTCGGGTGACGGTATGTCGCCGGCGCCAGCATCGCCTCTGCCTGCGCCGGCGGTAGTCACCGACCTTGCCCGCAAGGAGGCGACGTCGATGGCACGCCTCCGCGAGTCGACGCTGCAGAGCGCCGACTCGCGCGAGGCGCGAGTGTACCGCCTCGCCGGCGACGGGCGCCGCCCGATGGACGCGGTCACGCTCTCTGGGCTCGATGCGCTGGCGACGCCGCTGCAGGCGCGGGCGAACGTGTCGGCGCTTGCGGCGCTCAACGACGATGCCGACGCCACCTTTGCCAAGCTCTCAGAGGCAGTCCTCCGCCGTGATCCGAACGAGATGAAGGCTGGCGCTGGGCGGACACGGACGCATCGGGCGACACCGATGCCCGAGCCGGAGAGCCGCGAGCCGGCGCGACACTTTCTTGTCGAGCGAGTCATTGGCGCCGACGGCCCTGCGGGCGGCGATGGGCTTGGTCCGCGCAACGTCTCCAACGTCACTACGCCGCCGTCGTCGTGGTCGGGCTCGCTCTCCAACGACTCGGGGTTGGGCATTGCTGTTGCTGAGAACTCGGACGGCGACGGCGACGTCGGCAACGACCATGCCGTGCCAGCTGCGCTCGAGTCGTTTGACGAGCTCTCCGAGGCGTCGGACTCTAGCAACTCGGGCGACTCGCTTGACGGGCTATCGGGCACCTCGGGCCCGCCGCGGCCGAGGGCGCTGTCTAAGGTTAATCGCCTCCGCCGCTCGTCGCTCTTTTCATCGGTCGCCTCGCTCCAAGCCGCTCCGTCGAAAGTGCTCGGCAAGCGAATTGCGCCTGGCGAGGCGGACCGCTTTGCCGAGCCGCCGTCTCCGAGCACTGGCTCGTCTGGCGGTGCCTCTCGCCCACCCGAGCAATCGACTATCCTCGATGGCTACCGGGACATGGAGTGGTCCGACTCGTTGTCGTCATCATCATCGTCGTCGTCGTCGTCGAAACGTACCCTGACCACAGCTTCACCGAGGCATTCTGTTGCCGCCGGGCGCGGTACTGCCGATTGCGGAGCGGAGCTCGTCGCGCCCCAACTCAAGGCCGACGTCAGGTGACTGGAGCTCGCGCGGGGCGGTCATCAACGACGAAGACATCCATATCCCGCGCCGAACACCGCCCGCGCTTCCGCTGGGCACTGCTGCGTCGGCGTCCGACTCGGACGACACCAGCTCGGACCCGTCGAGCACCAGCCGACAGGCGAGTGCGCCGGCGCTGGCAACGTCCAATGGCCTCGGAACACCACATGCCTCCTTTGTCTCGTCGAAATCGTCGTCTTCGTCATCATCATCATCGTCGTCGTCGTCGTCATCGACGCCTTCGACCATCTCAATCTCGGCGCCGCCGCCGCCGCGGCCCACGCCGGCGTCCACTACCGCCACAAATGGGCGTCAGCGCTCTGTTGCTCCTAACGCACCGCGCCAACGGATCTCGCTAGCTGCCGGCCTCGCCGACTTTGTAGTCCCCGTCGACGATGGCGCCGCCGAGCCGACCGTCGAGGCGGGGAGCAGTGCCGTCGCCCCGTCTGATGTCACTGCCGCGCTCCTTGCCGAGCTCGACGGACTGTAGATGACAGCGCCATGCAGAGCAAGTAAAGCTGTACGCGTCACCGGGCCGACTATCGATACCCCCCCCCCCCCCCCCCCCCCCCCCCCTCTTCCCATGCAAAGATCGAGTCATCCGCACAGTGATATGTCGTAATGGTACAAGTGGTGAGCCGAGACTCGTGCATTCGTCAGGCGTTCACAGTCGACTACAACAACCGAATGTGGTCTAGTAACTCCAAGGCCGAGTCTGTGGGCCTCCTCCCTGGTCGCAAGACTCTGGGCCCTCTGTTCCTGATGATCACCACTCCGGTCTTTGCCCTTGTTCTTTGGTACGACTGCGTCCTGCCTGTTATCCCCTTCTCACTCTCCTGCTCTATGTCATTGTCTGTACCCATCCCGCTCCCCTCCCCTCCCCTGCCCCCCTGGCCACGTCGCCAGTCTGACTGGTGCGGATGGCCACTTTTTCAACGTCGGGGCCGAGGATGCTACGCACCCTACTGCAGCTCGCTACACAGATGGTATAGTGTCGAAAACTGTACTAGTGGTAGATGTATAACGGTTGCAGAGGTTGGCCAAGTTTCGTTTGTATAACGCTTGGTATGCCTGCTGGAGCAGCGTGTGTGTGTGGCTGGCGGTGGTCTTGCGCTCGGCGCGCGTGCTTTGGCTGACGGAGTCGCTCCCCCGAGTCTGTCGCGTCCGTTTGCTGCTCCGACCTTGGACCTCCAACGAGCGCAATACAAGCGGAAGATGAGCCGAGGCATTCGACAGGCTGATTGTAGAAGCAATCATGTCCCATGGCTGGCTCGCAGTATGAGGACCATCGGAGCAACTGAGCATGTGAGGACTCACACGGACGATGCATGTGACGGACGGCGTGTTGATGGTGTGTGTTTGTGTGTGTGTGTGTGTGGGGGGGGGGTTTAGGTACTGCCTGGTGGAGCTTGATGGCTCTTTCGTGACGTTCTACCAGCTCATCCAGGAGGTTGGGCTCAAGGAGGCGATGCTCATGTGCTGGCAGACGCCGAGCTGGTACGAGTACAAGATTCTCGCGGTGTACTCTGTGTTTGAGCTCGCGCTGATGAAGTTCCCTGCTGCGATTGTGGAGGGGCCTGTGACGCCGAAGGGCCACGTGCCCAAGTACCTGGACAACGGCATGTCTGCGTACGTGATCACGATGGCGGTTGCTGGCGTGCTTCACTTTACGGACGTGTTCCCGCTGCAGACTGTGTACGACCACTTCCACGGGATGCTCTCTGCGCAGGTGATCATCATGCCGACGGTTTGCGTGCTGCTGTACCTCAAGGGCGTGTTTGCACCGACGTCTGTGGACAACTACGACTCGGGCAACGCGGTCTTCGACATCTACTGGGGCCGCGAGCTCTACCCGCGCATCTTTGGCTTTGACGTCAAGATCTTCTCCAACTGCCGGTTCGGCATGATGTCGTGGCCGCTGCTGCTGCTCGCGTACGCGGCGAAGCAGTACGAGCTCTACGGGTTTGTCTCGGACTCGATGCTGGTCTCGATCGGCATCCAGTTTGTGTACCTGACCAAGTTCTACTGGTGGGAGGCCGGGTACTTCCGGTCGATGGACATTGCGCACGACGCCGCCGGCTTCTACCTTGTCTTTGGCTGCTGCGCGTGGCTCCCGGTTGTGTACACCTCGCACTCGCTGTACCTGGTCAAGCACCCGGTGGTGTGGGGCTGGCCGCTTGCCGGCGCCATCTTTGCTGCCGGCACCGTCTCGGTTCTCATCAACTACTGGGCCGACAAGCAGCGGCAGGACTTCCGGTCGACCAACGGCCAGCTCAAGATCTGGGGTAAGGACCCGGTCATTGTCCGCGCCGAGTACCAGACTGAGGAGGGCGAGTTCAAGAAGTCGATCCTGCTGGCCTCGGGCTGGTGGGGCGTCGCCCGCCACTTCCACTACGTGCCCGAGGTCCTCGGCGCGTTCTTCTGGACCTTCCCCGGCGGCTTTGGCTCGCTCCTGCAGTACTTTTACGTCATTTTCCTCGTCATTCTCCTCACCGACCGCGCGTTCCGTGATGACGCTCGGTGCCGGTCCAAGTACGGCAAGTACTGGGACGAGTACTGCGAGCTGGTCCCCTACCGCATTGTCCCGTACCTTATCTAAAATCGATGATCCGGAAGCATTGCCTACCAAGCTAGCCAAAACCTGCCCAGTAGAGTGATGGCAAGTGGCTGCTACTGCTCGTCTTGTCTAGGCGATTGCCGCGTCTGGCTGGCACGAGTCATCGTCCCCCGACCGTACCCCACACCCCGCACCACCCAACTCTTTCACCACAACCATGCCCGTTGTCTCTGTGGGCCGCGACAAGCTCTTTGCTCTCCTGGGCCGGACCATGAGTACGTCCATACACACACACACACACACACACACACACACACAATGAGAGATATACCCCCCCCCCCGTCCCTCCTCCGCCTCCCCGTTCCTCCTCCGCCTCCCCTCCTTCGACGCCTCGAACCTTCGTTGGATGTTGGGCGAGGTGATCGCAGCGAGAGAGGGCGACCAGGGCAGGCAACTGGCGGGCCTGCCAGGGAGCCATGCTTGAGTTGGAGACAACGGAGAAATCCCATAGAGAAAAAGTGTGACGTTGTGATGAGGAGGGGGGAGGGGGTTTGGTTGGTATGATGGTGTGTACCGCTGTTTGTGGTCATGACGGGGGAGGGGGCCCCCGACCGGCGCGTGGGAGACCCCCCCCCCTTCTACAACCAACCACGTCCAGCACGCTCTTCTGCTCCTGCTCGATGGGCCACTAGCTCTGCTGCTATTTGCGGCTCTGTCATGTCATTGTTTCAGATCTGTGTCGATGACGGTTGTTCTGGCGGTGGTGAGGGATGATGGGTGGGCGAGGCGCAGGAGTGGCGGAATTTTTGACGAGGGAGTGGGCAAGCGGGCGGAGAGGGCAAACGTGTGGGCTGGAGCAGAGCTAGATCAGCACTTATGGTTGGGCGAGATGTGGTGGGCGCGAGTACAGCCGAGGAGGAGTTTGACCACCTGTGCTTCGAGTTTGGCATCGAGCTGGATGATGTGACAAGCGAGAAGGAGCAGCAGATCAAGGAGCGCGGCGTTGCGGAGGAGGGCGCGTCTGAGGAGGTCATCTACCGGATTGATGTGCCTGCGAACCGGTACGATCTGCTGTGCGCCGAGGGCCTGGTGACTGCGCTCAAGGTGTTCAAGGGCGAGATCGAGCCGCCTGTGTTCTCTGTGGTTGTGCCCGAGGGCGAGGCGATGACCAAGATGTACGTGGAGCCCGAGACGGCACAGATCCGGCCGTATGTTGTGGCTGCGATTCTGCGCGGGGTGACGTTTACGGAGGACTCCAAGGCGTCGTTCATCGAGCTGCAGGACAAGCTGCACCACAACATTTGCCGGAAGCGGACGCTTGTGGCAATTGGCACGCATGACCTGGACACTGTGCAGGGCCCGTTCCGGTACCGGGCTATTGCGCCGGAGGACATTTCGTTTGTGCCGCTGAACAAGACGGAGGAGACGACGGGCGCCGGGGTGATGGATCTGTACGCGGACGACGCGCACCTCAAGGGCTTCCTGCCGATCATCCGCGACTCGCCGGTGTACCCTGTGATCTACGACGCGCAGGACCGCGTGCTCTCGCTCCCGCCGATCATCAACAGCAACCACTCGAAGATTGAGCTCTCGACGCGCAACGTGCTCATCGAGTGCACAGCAACGGACCACACCAAGGCGATGATTGTGCTCAACACGATTGTGGCGATGTTCTCGCAGTACTGCGACGAGCCGTTTACGGCCGAGGCTGTGCAGGTGGTGTACCCCGAGGGTGACGCGCGCAACGAGCGGGCGCTTGCGCACTACCCGGACATGTCTGCACGGACGGCGAGCGCGGACGTGGCGTACATCAACCGGGTGATTGGGATCAACGAGGACGCACAGGGCATTGCTGCGCTGCTCAACAAGATGATGCTGCCGACGGCTGTGGGCGAGGATGGGGCGAGCGTGGACGTGAGCGTGCCGCCGACGCGGTCTGACGTGCTCCACGCGTGCGACATTGCCGAGGACGCGGCGATTGCGTACGGGTACAACAACCTGCAGAAGACGGAGCCGAAGACGTACACGGTCGGCAAGCAGCTGCCGATCAACAAGCTGACGGACCTGCTGCGACTGGAGGTGGCGATGTTTGAGTTTACGGAGATTCTCACGTTCTCACTCTGCTCGCACGCCGACGCGTTCGAGAACCTGCGGCGCGAGGACGACGGGCAGACGGCGGTGCTGATCGGAAACCCCAAGACGTCTGACTACGAGATGGCGCGGCCGACGCTGATGGGTGGGATGCTGAAGACGCTGGCGGCCAACGCGAGCCAGCCGCTCCCGCGCAAGCTGTTTGAGATCACCGACGTGGTGATCAAGGACCCGAGCACCGACGTCGGGGCGCGCAACGACCGGCGGCTGGCGGTGGCGTACTCGAACCACTCGGCCGAGTTTGAGATCGTCCATGGCGTCCTCGACCGGGTTATGGAGGTCATCGGCGTGGCGTGGGCCGACGAGCCGGCCAAGGCGTCGGCGTCCGACGGTCCGGCGGAGGCCGCCGCCGTCTCGGCCGCCACCGCTAGCCTCTCGTACAAGCTGGAGGAGGCCGACGACGCCGCCTTTTTCCCGGGCTTCCAGGCTTCGATCCACCTCAACAACGAGGTCATCGGCTCTGTCGGCATTGTCCACCCCGAGGTTCTCGCCAACTTTGGCATCTCGTACCCGGTCTCGTACCTCGAGATGTCCATCGAGCCGTTCCTTGTCGACCATTCCAAGTGAGTAACATTCGGTTCTGTCAGAGAAGAGAGGCAAGCGCGGCAAGCAGCCACTGTTCCGGTCGAATAACATGCTTGATGCATCCTTTGTGCGGGGTGCGCTATCGAGTGGCGCGGGGCCACAGCTTCCACGGCCACCGAGGGCGAGCGCTACCTCGGACACGCCACCTGCGCCACAGCTGTCTCGAGTTGATGGCAGAGGGTCATATGGCCTCTGAGAGTCACGAGGCAGGTGAAGGAAGTGATGTACGGGTACGAGTCGTCATACCGCCGTCGACCAAGATAGAGCTCTCCTTGAGTCGACCTGTTGTCCGGGGAGCGGTGGAGGCAGGCATCCGTGGTAAGGTACCTTCCGTCAAGCACCGCTTCCTCCGGCTCGTCCACAATGGTGCGGTCCTTCCGAGTGCTTCCAATGCTCTGCTTGACCTCCCCAACAATGCTGTACTCCATTGTATTGCCAAGAATGGGCCTTGGTCCGACGCTGTTCCGGTCCCGCCGCCTGCTCGCCCTGGTGTGACAGCTGCGGCTGCTCTCCCGCCTGCTCTTACTGGTTTGGCTCTCCCGCGCGCTGCTGCACAGGAGGGCGAGGTGGAGATAGTGTCGGCAAGGCCGGGTGGCGTGTCGCGGAGACGATCGGAGGGGCTGCGACGCGAGACGGGGCGGAGAAGAGCGAGGAGATCGCGGCGCGGGCGAGGGCTCGGCGGCGATGGCGATGGCGAGACCGGCCGCCGGATGCGCGAGGAGAGGAGGCGGCAACGGACGGCCACACGCGACGATGGCAGCGACGATGGAGGCAGTGGCGACGACGACGACGGCGACGACGAGCTTGGCTTTGACCATTTGACCACGTACGGTTTTGGCGCGCAGCAGATTGCCGAGGTCCGCGAGCGGTTTCTGGAGGCGCGCGGGCACTTGCCGGCGGCGCAGCGGCGTCAGGAGGAGGAAGAGTGGATGAACGCCATTGCACTCATCTCGCTCCACGATCCGCACATCAGCCCGGTTGACGTGCTCGCGCAGAACATGGTGCCACCACCGGCGGCGGCGACGCCGATGAGCGCGGCAATCGATGACGTGTTTCGTGGGGAAGACGCGGCGGCGATGGTCGCAACCGGGCAGCGCGGGCGGCTGCGTCTGCCACCACTGCCATTGTGGCGGCTGTGACTCAAGAGGGCTCGCACTTTGACTTTCTCGTCGGCGCTGTGGCCGGCTTTGTTCTCGGTCCGATCCTCATGATCTGGCTCTGCTGCGAAGACTCACTAACGGGCCAGTTCCGGCTTGGTCTTGTCCTGGGTCTGTTGATCAACGCCGGCTTTGGCTTGTTGCGGCTTGTGGACGGATGACGGCCTGTTGGTGCTGGCCCAAGACCGCAGCGTCAGCGCCCTCGGCACGCTGGCACAAGATCGAGATGACAGGCTGCCTTGACGCTCTGATCAAGTACATACCGAGCTACTACCGCTAGCCTTTTCACCCCCCCCCCCCCTGCCGCGCGCGCTTGATCTCGACATTCTCCATGTCCTCAGTCGACGTGCCCGAGGAGCGATCAATGGCGCGTCGACAAGACTCGGCTGAGGCCACGTTTACCCAAGCCACCCCAGGCTACACCAGTGCGACCCAATACCACCCACCCACCCTACCCAATGCAGATGGCCAAGGTGTACACATGTAGGCGATGTGGTACCTCCTTCCCCTCCCAGCCTGTGTGTGGGAGGCAGGGGGAGGGGAGGGGAGACCAGGTCGGTCATGACTTCATCTTGGCCTCCTTGAAGAGGACGTGTTGACGGACAACAGGGTCGTACTTGCGAAAGGCAAGAGGCCGCTGAATGGACTTGGGGTTCTTACGGATGGTGTAGTAGAAGCCAGTACCTGCTGCAGACACAAGCTTCACAATAACCGTCTTGCGCTTGCCAGACATCCCCCTCGCTCGCTCTCTCGCGTCAACTGTGTCCGTCTCGGCTCACCTCCCGCCCAGCGGCACTCCCGCCCACTCCCGCCTGCTCCCGCCCGCTTCCACCCGCTCCCGCCCACTCTTGCCCGCTCCCAACGGCTCCCACCCACTCCCGGTCACTCCCGCCCACTCCCGCTGCCATCTGTAGACCATGATGTGCAGATCATGTACCGATCCACCTCCCTACCACACAGCCTTTGCACTCTCTCGAGGCAGCCATGCTCATAAGTGTCCCAACCCATATCCTCAACAAGCCCTCCATCCCAAGATGCACTATCATCCCTCTCTTCTCTCTCTCTCTCCCGATCTCTCCCCTCCCCCCCCCCCCCCCCCCGATCTCCACCCCCCCCCGATCCCCGGCCTGATCTCCCTCTCTGCCCTCTGTCCCCGCAACTCCATCCATCCATCCGCCCACCCGTCCACTGCCACCACACCCCATTGCGGAGGCACTCACCTCACTCACACTCGCACTCATCATGGCTGTGCCTTCGTTCGAGCCGCTGGAGCTGGACTTTGATGACTCTGCTGTGCTTGGAGGGGACAATGCGGCTGCGCTGGTGACCTTTGGCTCTGATGACGACGGGGACGACGACGACGATGGGCAGGTCAAGATCGAGCTGGTGCCGGCGCCCGATGTGGGGAGTGATGACGAGAATGGCAGCGACGAGGACGGCGGGGTGTCGCGGAAGCGCAAGGCTGACGATGCACTCGAGGACGAGCGTGCGGCCAAGAAGAAGAAGAAGGAGAAGAAGAAGAAGACCAAGAAGGGCCGGAAGCGGCATGACGACGAGGACGACCTCAGCCTCCCGATCTCGCTCCTTTCCGGCCCGACCGATGGCGTCGACGCTATGGAGGTGCCTGTGGCGCAGGCCAAGTACTTGCAGCGGCGACTTTTGTCGCTGCTTGCGCCAGAGATGTCGTCGGTGGAGCTGGACGCGGTGGCGGTGCCGCTCGAGGCCATGCTCCCGCCTGCGGCGAGCGAGATCCAACTCGGCCGCTTCACGCGCTCGCTCTACGGCGACAAGCACATGTATGACATGCTTGTTGCGCCGCGGCCGCAGGCGGAGGTTGTGTTTGGCGCGCCGCGGATCCTGATTGTGACAGCCGGCGGCATGCGGTGCGCCGACGTGGTCCGCGAGGTGAGCGCTGCGCTCAAGCTGCCAGAGAAGGCTGCGCGCGGGCGCAAGGTTATCCGGCCGGCGAAGCTCTTTGCAAAGCACTTTAAGGTTGCGCAGCAGGCCAAGTTCCTGCAGACCCACGAGGTCAACATCGGCGTCGGCACGCCGAACCGGCTCATCAAGCTGATCGAGGCGTCGGACGGGCTCTCGCTCGACCGGCTCGAGTTTGTGCTCCTCGACATCCAGCGCGATGCCAAGGAGCGGTCGCTGCTGGACATGCACGGGGTGGACGTTGACGCGGCGCGGCTGCTTGCCAAGCACCTGCTTCCTCTGGCTGCCGAGGGCCGGCTGCACATCGGGCTCTGCTAAGCGGTTTAGTAGTCATCGGTATCGTCGGCGCCGAGGGACGACGAGTCCGAGTCTGCGCCGGCGTAGTAAGCGGTGACTGCTGGCGGAGCATTGGGCCGCGGGCGGGAGCGTGTCGAGGTGGCGACGCGGGCATCTGCGCGGGCGTTGGAGCGCTGCGCTCTCGACGAGGCCGCTATCTTTTTGGAAGCGAGTGATTGGACGAGCGAGCGGCGCGGGCGTCGCTTCTTGACCTGAGTTGGCGAGGCGAGCGCGTTGGCCTGGGGCGAGGCGTCGGATGTGTCGCCGGCGGCGGAGAGAAAGGCGTCGATGGCGGCCTCGGCCTCTTCCTTGGAGAGGGTGATGCGGCGGCCGGTCGACTTGTCCATGCCCTCGGGAACTTCGAACGGATGAGCCGGCTCATTAGCCTGGATGCGGACAACGGTAGCCGGCGCGACAACACAGTCGAGTGGCGAGCTGGCGCCGGCGACGAGCGGGCCGGTATCCGGCGAAGTGTAGACCGGGAACGACTCGATGACGGAGCCGTTGATGAAGGAGCGGATCTCGACAAATGTCTCGTAAATGACGACGAGGAAGGTGCCTTCAGGTGAGGCACGAAAGGCGAGCGGGTGCCGCGCCACACAAACGGGCGCGAGTGGTCGATGGCGAGCGAGCCGGAGAGGATGACGACGCCGTAGTGATCAAAGCAGAGCAGGATGCTGTCCGGCAGCGAAAAGGCGGCCATGGGCGTGGGGCGCTCTGAGCGGGCGGCCTCTCCGGGCTGCAGCGCTGGCTTGGCCTCGAGCATAATCTTGGGGTGGACGGCGGTGAGCGGCATGTCGAAGAGGCCTGCGAGATGGGGAAAAACGTAAAGTCGCCAGCGGCACCGGCGACCAAGCCAGTTCGGGTCAGATGGAGGGACTCGACCCGCCCCGGGAGCGGGAGTGAGGCTAGGCGGCGATACTGGGCGTCGTCGCCCGCCACGAGCGGCGGGTCGACGACGAGGAGGTCGACGACCGAGCCGAGCGCGAGGGCGACAAGCGGCTCGCCGGTGGCCATGTGGCCGACGGCAAATGCGTGGGCGCCCTTGGTAAAGGGCACAAGGGTGAGCGAGGCCGAGGTAAGTGACGAAAAGCCACGGCCTTCGCGGCCCTTGCGGTCGACGCCCCAGTCGCGGAGCTCAGTCAGGATACAGCCAATCTCTGTGGCGCGGAGCGAGAAGAGCTGCGGTGCCGGGCCGGAGGTGAGGATGAGGACCCTGTGCAGATCCATAGCGTGGAGATCGCTCCATGACGGCGATGTGATGGGCGCCGGCGAGGCCTCAAAGGAGAGGAGCTCCATCTGGTCGACCCGCGGGAGGTCCGCGAGACGGTGTGGGGTGTAGCCGTGTGCGACGAGCGCGTGCGGCAGCATCCACACGCCCGACTGCGAGCCGTAGAGCGAGGCTGCCGGGCCAAACGAGAGCGAGGCGGTGAAGACCTCGTCGAGGAGCGGGTCGAGCTCGTTGGCGGGCGCAAAGAGCGGCGCGAGGGTGTGGGCCTGCGGCGATGCCTGCGGGAGGTCGTCTGCGGCCACGTGTGGCGTGGCCCAGTCGACGGCGGCGCGGAGCTTGGCCTTGCACTTTGAGGCGCGGGCGTGCGGAAAGTGGGATTCGGCGGCGAGCTCGAGGTACTGCTTGCGGGTGCGGCGGTCGCGGATGACAAACTCGGGTGAGACGTATGTGGCAAACTCACCGTTGTGGCACTTGGTGAGGAGCATGTCGATGGTGGCGGGTGTGCGCGGATAGAGCAGAGCAGCGGGCGGGTCGAATGGGCGGAGGCCCTTTTGGCGGGCAAAGGCGATGCGGTAGCCGTCGTCGGCCGGCTGGACGACAGCGATGATGTTGGTGTACTGCGACGTGAGGGTGTCGACGCAGAACGTGGTATCGCCGTCGACAAAGACAATGACGACAATGTCGTTGCCAATGAAGCGCTTGCGCTGGATAAACTGCTCGTCGGTTGCATCGTACTGGAGCATGGTTGAGACGTGGAACATGACGGCGGTGTCACCAAGGGTGGTGGCAACCGAGTAGAGGCCCGACTTGTCGTAGGCGGTGTCGAGCTGCGCAGCGTAGCCGTCGTAGCCCTTGAGGCGGACGCGAGTGCCGAGCAGGTCGAGGAACTGATCAAAGGCCGGTGTGGCGTGCTGGTTACCAAACATGGCGTTCTCTTCGGTCTGGTCCTGGCGAGCGAGGAGGACGCCAACCTTCCACTTGGGCTCGGTTTCGGGATCCTCGACGTTGACAAGGTGCGAGACGAGGCCTTGGACTTCGCTCGACGGCAGCGGGTGGAAGTACTTGGCCCACTCGGCGAGTTCGTCAAAGCCACCGGCGCGGAGCAGAAGCTCGAGCGTCATCGGTGTCTCGGGTGCGGCGTCGGCAACGTGGACGAAGCGGACGACAGCCTCACGGCGCCAGAGAATGGTGAAGTACTCGAGCCGTGCGGCGTCGGCCGTCTCGGCAATGAGAACCGAGACGATGGCGACACCGCCGCATGCGTCGTGCCACGCACCAAAGTTGAGGTGTGGAAGAGGGGCAAAGAGCCGGCGGTACCAGTACAACTCGGCCTTGGCGTCGTTGACCACGTTGATGGCCGAGTCTGGAAGTTGCCAAGCGTGTGGAGCGAGCGGCGGGTCGAGGACAAAGCCGGAGCCCGGATCGCAGATAGGGGTCCCGGCCACCGATGCAGTGTTTGGCGGCGGTGCCACGAGTTGGGTCTCGACCGGGAGGCCGAGGTCGGGGGCTTCATCGACTGAGGCGATGGAGGCTGACGACGCCGACATCATCGACGATCGACGAAGAAGAGCCGAGCGTGAATGGCGGGCGGCGAGCGAGGGCGCGGCCGGCGGGACCCGGACCCAGCGTGCGCGGATCTCGATGTCTCCAGAGATGGACTCGCCCTTGAAGCCGGAGAGACCGATGAGTGGATAGGTTTTGTGAAGGACGCGTTGGGCGTCGGTGAGCGACGGCGAGGGCGACCGTACGGCAGCAGATGAGGCTTCTGCCGGAGTGACGAGCGGAATGGCGGTGATGGGCAGGATGACACGACCCAGGAAGTTCTTGGACATGCCCATGCGCTCCGAGTCATACACAGTTAGCTCGACGGCACCGTCGGGGTCGGTGATGGGCAGGACGTAGCGAGCGTCGTCCCAGACGGGCGAAAAAGCCTTTTTCTTGACCGAGGTCTCAAAGACGAGGTCGTCGTCGGCTGGAGTGTGGATGTAGAAGTCGTCAGCAGCGTCGTCATAGGCGCAGTCGGACGATGAGGCCGGGGTGTCGGTGTCGCGGCGCGGCGAGAGCGGCGAGGCGCCGCGCGGGGTGGTGGCGAGCGACGAAGCAGCCGACGAGGACGAGGCAGCGGCGGCTGCCGAGGATGTGGCGCCTGTAGCGGGCGAGCCTGAGGCAGTGATGTGGCGGACAATGACAAACGGGTTGATGTCGGACTTGCGGTTGGCGGCGAGGTCCCGGCAGGCGAGAACCTCGAGCTCGAGCATGCCGCAGTTGACAAAGACGTAGAAGAGCTTGTCGTCGCGAAAGCCGTGCTTCGACTCGACATGGCGAATGAGGCCAAGACGGAGCATGTCCTCGGCCATGCGGACAGCAGCCGCACGGCGCTGCTTGGCCGACGTGGCGCCGTCGAGCACTTGGGTAGCCACCAGCCAGTCGACAGCCTCGGAGCCGACAAAGCAAGCACGGTACGTCCTCAGGTGCCACTTGCGGGTGCGGATAGGGATGCCCTCTTCCATGGAGCGGGCCGCAGCGACCAGCCGCGAGATGGCTAGCGCATGTGACATGGCGGTGGTGAGATGTGGGGAGGGCGGGGAGGGACGGTGGGTGGGTGGGCGGGTGGGTGGGTGGGTGGAGTGTGGAACCGAGCGGTGGTTGGCAACGAGGGGGTTTGCGCGAGGTGGGGAGGAGGGGGAGGGGGGGGGGGGGGGCGACGTGCAGAGAGTGTAATTTTTTGTGAGCTACGATGGGAGCGGGTGATGGCGCTTGGACGACTGCTCGGTGGAGGAGGAAAAGTCCTCGAGATCGGTAAAGTGCTGCGACTGAAAGGCGGCGCGGTAGTCGTCGAGAGTGGCAGGTTCCATGGCCTTTGCGATTTTCTCGGCGGCGGGCTGGATGAGCGGAAAGTAGCGGGCAGCCCAGATGGAGGCGAGGACCGGGCCGACGCCCTCGACGGCAGCAAAGGCGTCGTCGGTCGTCGGGAGGAGGTTGGCAAAGAGGTCGATTTCCTTGGAGTGGAACTGGCGCGGGAAGTTCTTGGCAAAGTTGTCGGTGAGGGTGGTGAGGTTCGCGATGAGCTCTGCGCGAAGGTCGAGGACCTCGCTGGGTAGGGCGGCCGAGTTTGAGTGTCGGCGACGCATGATGGGGCGATTGGTAGCGACGGCAGCGACCTTGTAGGCGGAAGCCATGGGTACGGAAGAAGCGGCACGGGCGGCGGCGACAGCAGCATGATCGGTGGGGAGGGCTTGCGGTGTCGGGCGGGTGCGCGAGTTGGGGGTAGGCCGGTTACGCGACGACGATGAGGCCGAGCGCTGGCGCTTGCGCGACGAGGCCGACGAGGCCTTGTCAGCGACGGCGATGATCATGGGGCCGGTGTGGCCATCGAGAAAAGCGTTGGCCTTGGAGCCGGGCTGGATGTAGGTGGAGACGCCACGATGAGGCCCCGGGCGCGACTTGGAAAACTCTGAGAGGACACCGTCGAGGATGAGGTGCTGGACGATGCGGTTGATGTTGTCGCGATCAAGGCCGCGGCCAGCGCCAGCTTGAGCGAGTCGGGTGAGGCCTGCGGTGACCAAAGGTTTCGAAGAAGAGCCGTAGTAGCAGGCAGCGACCTGAGTGGCGGTGACGGGTCGATGAAGCTCTTTGCACGCGGTTTTGACGAGGGTGACAAGGTTGCGGGCGTGCTTTGTGACGTCGACCTTGGCAAAGATGGCAGACGAGGCGCAGTTGTCACAGGTTGAAGCGCACTTTGCAGGGTCAAAGGTACGGCCAAAGTGGGCGAGCTGGAGGAAGCGGCGGCAGTCGACCTTGTTCAAGCAGTAGCGGACGACGTGGGCAATCTTGGACTTTTCCTCGCGCTTCTGGACCCACGAGGTCTCGGTGTTGCGATCGATGAGGGACTCGATGCGGGTCTTGTCCTTGTAGGAAAAGTAGACGAGACAGTGGGCGTCGAGGCCGTCGCGGCCGGCGCGGCCGGCCTCCTGGAAGAGACCCTCCATGGACTTGGGCATGGTGTAGTGGACAACAAAGCGGACGTCGGGCTTGTTGATGCCCATGCCAAAGGCGATGGTGGCGACGATGACCTTGACGCGTCCGTCCATCCACTTGTTCTGGACGTTCTGGCGGGCGCTAGGGTCGAGGCCGGCGTGGTAGTGCAGGGCCGGGATGCGGGCGGCGTAGAGCTGGCGCGCGACGTCTTCGCACTCGCGACGAGAAAAGCCGTAGACAATGCCGGCCTTGTTGTGGAACTTGGTGCGGATGAAGGCTACGATGTCCTTGACGGTGGCTTTGCTGGTCTTGGGACGGACCTCGTAGAAGAGGTTGGGCCGGTTCATGGACTGGGTAAAGTGCTGGTAGTTTGCGGAGAGGCCGAGGTTCTTGATGATGTCGATGGCGACGGGCGGAGTGGCGGTGGCAGTCAGGGCCATGACCGTGACGTTGGGGAACGAGTTTTTGAAGATGTTGAGCGAGAGGTAGTCGCTGCGAAAGTCGTGGCCCCACTGCGAGACACAGTGGCACTCATCGACGACGACGAGAGAAAAGTTGCCGCGGTCGTTGCAGCGGGCGAGCGCGCCCTTGAGCGCGTCGGACGCGGTGACCATTTCCGGGGTGGTGAACACAATCTTGGTCTGCGGCGAGCCCGAGGCGATGTCACTGAGGGTGGCGCGGCGTTGATCGTCGGAAGCGCAGCCGGCGAGAACGCCGACGCGGACGTTGCGGCCGTCGAGAGCGGAAGCCTGATCAGCAATGAGGGCAATGAGCGGTGAGATGACGACGGTTAGGCCGGGAAGGGCAAGGGCCGCGACTTGGTAGCAGAGCGACTTGCCGCCGCCGGTGGGCATGAGGACGAGGGTGTCATGACCGGCCATGGTGGCGTTGATGACCTCGCGCTGGGTGTCACGGAACTTGCGGTGGCCAAAGACGTTGTAGTTGATCTCGTCGATGCGTTTGGTCCATTCAAAGGCATTGCCGGCCCAGCGCTTGCGTGACTCGGCGGCGAGCCTGTCGAGATCCTCGTGGGAGGGGATGGCGGCAGGCTGGGGTGGGGCGTGGTGGGTAAGGCTCTGGCCGCCGGGCATGGCTTGCATGGGCACCGCCGGGACTTGCGCGTGCATGGCGGGTATAGCCGGCATCGAGCGCGCAGGAACCGGAGGAGGAGCGGGCGAAGGAGCATGGGCTAAGGCGGCGACGTCCATGGAAGTCGACGCGAGCTTGGCGGCAACGCGGTCACGAACAGCGGCGAGGTCACTGCAGAGCTGACGAATCTCAGTCCGCAGAAACTTGGCCTCGGGATCATCGCTATGGAGGGTGTCGCCGAGCCTGGCGCGGAGGAACATGGCTTCGGTGTCGATCTGCGTGAGATTGGTCTCGAGTTCGGCGCGCGAGGCGCTCGCGCGGGGCAGGGTGATGAGCTGTGACATTGGCAAGCGTGTAGTGGCAGCGGCCGGAGGCGGCGACGGCGGCGGGACGGCAGCGTGGTGCGGAGGTGCGGCGGGACGCGGGATGTGGCGGGGTGGCGAGTCGAGCAGCATCGGGTGCGGGCGGGAGGGCGGAGGCGGGTGGATGGTGGACTGGCCCTGCGGGGCGATGAGAGCGTCAAAGTCGAGCGTGGCGAGGTGCTGATCCAGCATGTCCTGCGACGAGCGGATGTCTTCGAGGTGCTGGGCCTTTTCGCGCTGGGCAGCAGTGAGGTCGGCGTCGATGTCGTCGATGAGGATAGGCTCGTCGAGCGCAAAGCCGATGTCATTGAGCTCTTGGGCGTAGCGAGCGGTGAGCTCCTCGCGCGAAGTGTGACTCTGCGGGCGCGGCGGTTGCGGGGGCGGGGTGGGCAGTGGCTGTGGCTGGTATGACTGGACCGGCAGCGGAGGCGGCGGCGGACGACGCTGGAGTGGAGCACGGCCAGAGAACTTGCGTGGTGGTGGGAGGGCGTTTGCGTCTCGGAAGGAGATGGGCGAGTCGTGGGCGCGTGCGGCGAGGGCGCTCTCAGCGTGAGTGGGACGAGCATGCGACAGGCGGGCGTAGAGACCAGTCACCTTGTCAGCCGCGAGCATGGCCACCTTGAGCTCTTTGAGTGTGGCGGGGAGGTTGTTTTGTGGGCGTGGCATGGTGGGGTGAGCTGGGGTGGGCTGGGGTGGGGGTTGGGGGGGTGGGGTGGAAGAGAGCGGTGGTGACGGCGGGAGCAAAAAGGTCGTAGTTTTCATTGGCATGGGATGGGGGTACACAAAATGGCCGAGTGTGTCGTCGACGGCGAGACTCGATGTGGCTTCGGCGTACTTGGGTAGGGGAGCTAGGGAGCTGAGGTTGCAACTTGACTCGGAGGGAGTGGCGCAGCGTGTGTTGTTAGAGACGGGGTGTGGTAATGCTAGCTCGGTTGGGAGTTTGGCGAGCTGTCCGTATTGGCGTGAGGCGGAGGATGGTGGCGGCGGGTGCGGTCGGCGCGCGGGCGATGGCGGCGGCGGCGTGGATAGATGAGACGGCGGTAGTCGGCGCTGGGGTTCAGGTGCATCCGTCTGCGGTCATCGGGCCGGGAGTCGTGGTGGGAGATGGTGCAGTGATCGGGCCTGGAGTGGTGATCGAAAACGCGACTCTCGGCGAGCGGGTGATGGTCGAAGCCGGGACAGTGATCGGAGCGCGCGGGTTTGGGTATCTTCCGCGGGTGGAGGGGGTGGAGGGCGAGGGCGATGCGTGGACGGTGTACAAGCCACAAGAGCTGAGCGTAGTGGTCGGCGATGATGTGCATCTCGGCGCCAATGTGACGGTCGACCGCGGGTCGTGGCGCGAGACCGAGATCAGGAGCGGGAGCAAGCTTGACAACGGCGTGCACGTGGGGCACAACGTGGTGATCGGCGAGGGGACGCTCATTGCGGCGCAGAGTGGCATTGCTGGCTCGTGCACGATCGGGCGGGAAGTGCTGTTGGGCGGACAAGTCGGAATAGCACAGCATCTGGTGGTGGCCGATGGGGTGAGGGTGGCGGGCAAGTCAGGGGTGCTGAGCGACTTGTTGGAGGCTGGCGCGGCGTACGGCGGGTACCCGGCAGTGCGGATCCGCGAGTTCCACCGGATGCATGCGATGGCTAAGCGGGGAGTGGAGCGGACAGGCGGAGGGAGCGAGTAACATGATTTCATGCGGTGGGCTACTGCGGAGTGGAGCTGGCCTTGCTGGCCTTGCGCTGAGCACGGGCGATGCGCTTGTCGAGCTGAGCATCTGTGGGTGTGAGGACTGGGCCGAGTTTCAGCGCACCGTCGCAGACAATGGCGTCCGGCTTGCCAAAGACCCCGGCGCGAGCAAGGCTCGGGTCGGCGAAGCGGGCGAGACGGGCGTGGACCCGCGGGAGCGAGTAGGAGAACAGGCGCGGGCCAGCAGTGATGGTGGCGGCGAGGTCGATGGCCGGCGGGCTCGACGCCACACTCAGCGGGTGGTCGTCGGGGAGGGCCGGAAGCACGCGGGTGACAAAGGCAGTAAGGACGTCAACCTTGGCCTTGATGTTCGACTCGAGCGAGTAGCCGAGGAGCGGCGGAAAGTCGAGGACAAGGTCGCGGAGCTGGTCGGGCGAGAGGCCGAGGGTATCGGTAAAGTATGCGGCCTTGGGCTTAAGGTTTGTCTCGACGGAGAGGCCAAGGGTGCGCGGATAGAGGGTGAGGAGGCGCTTGAGGTCGGGATGCGGGACGCCCCACTCGTCGGCAAAGTACTGCATGGTGGGAATGACATTACGCTCGACCGAGTAGCCGAGAGCTTGCGGAAAGTGAACAGCCATGCGGCGCATGTCCGCTTGGGACATGCCGAGACCGGCAACCGGGCCCGGCGGACCTTCCGACGGCAGGCCCGAGCAGAAGGAGACCCAGGGCCGGAGGTGGTCCTCGACAGAGCGGCCCATGATGTTCGGGTTCGACGAGAGCACGCGGGTCTGCTCAGCGACGGTGAGGCCCAAGTCCGAGGCGAGGAAGGCGAGTTTGGCAGCAACAGTGGCGGCAGGCATGGAAAAGAGCTGCGGGTAGGTCTTGACCATGCGCGCAACGACGTCCCGCGAGAGGCCGCGTGCCTCGAGCTCGGCGACACGCGGGCGAAGACGCTCCTCCAGCGAGTAGCCGAGAACAAGAGGAAAGCGAGTAACGGCGACACCAACGTCCGGTAGCGAGAGGCCCAGATACGAGGCAAGCCACTCGACCTTGGGCTTGACCGTATGCTCGAGCTCGTAGCCGAGGAGCGGCGGCGCAGCAGCAACCAGAGCGCGGAGCTTGGCAGTATGCAGGTTGAGCGAGTCCCGGAGATAGTCAATGCGATTGACCAAGGCAGTTGGCTCAGCCTTGGCCAGAGCAGGACGCGCAGTGACAGCCGCAGCAACCTCGTCGACAGACATGCCTAGGTGGGAGATGAGGACCTCGCCGACACGGGCGGCGGCAGCCTCGTCGTCGGCCTCGCGGGAAGCTGCCGAGAACAGCCGCGGGCTGAGAGTGAGACCGGAGCAAAGACCGGGAGCACGTGGCATCGACCGCAACCATAGGCGAGTGAGGCCGAGCATGGAGTCCAGGGCGTGGGGTGCGGGGAGAGGCGTGGGGGTGGCTGGGGGTCGGGCGGCGGATGCGGTGAGATGGGCTCTGACTCTGCCGCAAGCAGCAAACAACTGGCGCAAACTGATGTCGATGGCGGGGAGTATTCGGCGCAACTTCGATTGAAGAGGCATTGTCTGCGGACGGATCGGCAGGTTAGCGAGCGCTCCTTGTCGTCCATCTCGCCGTGCCCGTTGTCGTCGTCAGTGCCCCATTGGCAACCCGGTCGGACTGGGCCCGGTCAGTCATAGGGGGAGAGCCTTGTCCTCGCCCAGCCAGACTTGGGCCCGGTCTTGATCAGCAGCGACGCAGGCGGGCGGCCGTAGCTGATGGCGTGGGCCCAGGCAGTTGTGGGCTGCGGGGCAGGTGGAGCAAGGGAAGGCTTGGGCCAGGCCATGGTCATGGCTGGTTCATCGTCAGTCGGTGTCGATGTCGGTGAGGGGCGGGGGGGGGGGGGGGGGGGGAGTGGGAGCGGATGGGGTCGGCGGGCGGCGGGCGGCGGCTGGCGGCGGGTGGTCGGCGAAGCAGGGGCAGCAGAGGGGGCGGGATTGGGGCTGGTTGGGTGGCTTCAGATTGGTCTTGGTTGGTAGATCAGCAGCATGACTGGTGATAGTTAAGGGATAGCGGTGTCGGGGTCGGGGATGATGATGGGGGTGACGTAGAGCGGGAAGACGAGGAGGAGTGAGGGAGGGAAGGA